AATATTGTATGTTGTCATTACTTTTGTAGTAATTATGTTTAACACAATAACGCGTGAAATAATTTGTGAAATTTAAGTGTAGTTTTAAAGGGTGCATAGATTTTATTGGAAAAGAAAACTGAAAGTGTAAATAAAGACATTTGCCATATATATCATGAAGATATGTATTCGTTTGAGTGACTGTTTCATATATTTTCACGAAATATGATACAATTTCATAAATTTTAACAAGCCGGAACGTACTTGTGATCAATTGTGTTGAAATAGTGTTTTTGTTTTCATAAGGTTAATCAGTGCATTCTTTTGTATAATATTTACCACAATAAAATGAATAATTTTTTTTTCGCAAACGTACAATAGTGTTGTTCTTTCTTTAGGTTAGTAGAGAAATACTTAGGATATACAAGATTCATGGTACTTATTGTAGGTTTTATCTTACAGTTTAATGCGACTAATGTGTCTGAGCTAAGAAATGAATCCTTAAGGTCCTAATACCATCATGAGTTTGTGATTTACCTTCATAGCAAAAATAAATCATATCCGATAGAAGTTGAAAAGTAATAGAAAATGTTCGCCTCAAAAATGTAAAAAACTGAGACGAATATTATTAATACACTCTAGCATTGTTTTTATATAGTAGTGAAAGTCTCAAGCACAATAGTATATTGAAATATTTCACGAGACAAAGTATTTGAAAGTTAAAAGAATAGTTATTTTTCAAGTGAAATCTATTTGCCATCGCTTCTAATTAGGGTTCTGTAAAATCAAGGGAAATAATTAGATATTCAAAATATCTCAACTAATCGTACAAGTTACTTTTCTTGACATGCTCATTGATAGTCTGATCTTTGTCTGTTTTGCAGATTCCCTCTTGTACTCGCATAACATTTGTATATAGTCCATCTAAAAAAAGTAAAAGTGTCTGTGTTTTAAAAATAATCACATTTCATTTTAACTTCATTGTTCATTTTCACACATGTTAACAAACCGTTAAATGCTAATTCAATTTTATTTCTCTCATGTAATAACGATTGTAAATCTAATGTTAAAAGAAATAGTGTATAATTATCTAGCTAACTTTGAGGATATGAGAAAAATCATCATCATTAATTAGAATAAAACATATCGTTAAATGCTATCAGTAGATTTCAGTCTTCATCAAACGTGTGGTATAACCAATCTGTCAGTATGACCTATTTCACTAAATATGGAGTCAACAAATTTTATTTTTATCCATGCAAATTTTTTAGATAACCCTAATATATTTTTACGAAAATCATACCCACAGCTTGCAATCTACAGTTTCAAAGAAAGAAGGTCACTTGAGCATAATGGCGGTAATGCCCTTTTTTAATTTTGAGTGAAAATCTATTATTAAATGGATTTAAACCCATGTAAATATAATACAGAAAATAACAGAAATAATTAGATTTGTTAGAATGTAACAAAAGTGTATGTATGGTGTTTTTTTCTGGATTTAAGATAGTGTTCATTTTCTCATGAAATTCAGAAGGAAAATAGACATATGGAAATGTTGGTAACGTTGTTTTCCTTTAGTATCCGTAGTACGGTGTTCCGTTTGGACACGTTTGGACAATCGTGACATTTTATTTATTCTGTACCCGCGATGCACGATGGTACGATAATGAAAACGCGATGGTACGATGGTGAAAACTCGATGGTACGATGGTGAAATCGCGATGGTACGATGGTGAAATCGCGATGGTACGATGGTGAAATCGCGATGGCACGATGGTGAAAGCGCGATGGCACGATGGTGAAAACACGATAGCGCGATGGTGCTTGTCAATTTGTAAAACATTCATTATCCTCACGCATGAAATGTAACAGGATTTTTTTATATTACAACATTGCGTAGTGCGCTGCCTGTTTAACACAAGTGGTGTACATGTATATATATATTCATCATTGATATTATTTTTTGACTGCTATATTTTTGTTTGTGAATTAAGTAACTATATATTCGTTTATTTAAGTATCTTAATTCTCACATTTATTAATGCATGTTTACTACATAAAATTTATATGCATCTAAAATAAAAATCAACTACGATTTACAAGAGACATACGAGGGCTTTTCAAAAAAATTCCTGGACTGCTGTTTTATTGTTCACATATTTTATTTGCGTACACGATTTTACAAGAGACAAATATTGGAACATGTCCTTAAAATACAGTGAAAAAATCAATAAAATGTGTTTACAAATAACAATTCTGTGAAAATTACAAGTAACAAGGAGTACGCGACCCGGCGCACGCTAATGATAAAACAAAATGACGTTCGTGACATTCAAGTAAAAATGTCACCAGTGTCATTGTTTCTGAAATAAGTTTCGAGTGTTCTATGTCCCCAAGTTATATAACTAACTATAACCATTTTTCTGTTTGTTGTGATGTAGCGAGAAAGAAATGGGTCACCGTTTCGCTCAATTCTCCGTATAAGGGCCGAGGGCTGACCACTTTCTTTATCACGATTTTTGAGTAATTTTGACACTTAACGGACATTGTTATCAAGTTGATTTAATTGGTGTTTTATAGTATCAATTTAAAACCACCATCGTCCGATCTTTAAACAATAAAAAATATTTTATCGACTGACAATTGTTATCTGCGGTAAATCTACTGAACACCGGCTAGCATCTAATATCAAACAAGTCAGCGAAAATACATGTAATACAAATAGTAATAATAACTACAAAAAATGTACATTTGTTTATTGTAAATACGCATGCATCCTTATGAATAAAATAAAATTGTGTTTAAATTTGATTGAATTGAATGTGTACACCAGATGCAGAAATTAAACATGCCGGACAGCTCACACACTTTTCATACTGTCCATCCTCATGTAAAACCTTTTGCAATTGACGTTCAAAACGTCCTGACGATTCTCGCCCCATTTCCGTCTGTGATCATGCATTCGCCGGTTTTGAATTACTTGCGCCAGCTGAAACCGAGTGACCTGGTCGCCGACTCATTGCCCTTTTTTAATTGAACCACCTCATATGAAGATGAAGGAGTATCCCTAATTTCATGGCAAACTTCCCGAAAGTGTGATTTCTAGTTTTTTAAAAGGGCTTTATAATTCGCAATTAACTATTTATTTCAACATTTGTCTATATTTTAACATTATATGAAAATTTTGGCGTGCGTCGATGTTGTGATGCCACGGTTATCAAAGTGTATATAGTTTGCAACGGATGTAAAAGTATAAGATAAAAGTATAACTTACTTAATTGTAGATATAAAGACTCTCGTTCGATTCATATCAACCAAGGTTGTTTTTATAACTTTTTTAACATACCTCGTATGTAACCATTATCACATATAAAATGTCTATAAAGGTATAAAACAGATAAGAAATAGAATACTCTTGTTAATCTGATTCAATTCTATATTGCTATAGAAGAAATAAATTCAAATTAAACTGAGTCAACTGCTATAAGATTTTAATTAGTTTTACATTTTAAAAAGCTATTTTGACATTATTGTTGTGAAGTAAATTTTTGTACATATTAATTCATTATTTAGCGTCCTTCCACACAGAGAGCGAATAATGCGATAAATCTAAGCTAATATTTCCCCCATTATATGAAAAATGTATCATTTAACTTTATATGACAGATGACTTCTAACTTCAATAATGTAAAAAAGTGCTTATTGATCAATTCCAGAATAAACCCAGCTAATTTGTAGTTATAATATTGACTCAATTTCACTGTTTTCGAACATTCGGCTCGTCCAGAATAAAATAAAACCCAAACGATAACACACACATAAAGTTAAAGAGTGAAAGATTTTTATACAAATTTCGAGAATGTGAGTAAAGTCACTACCTAGATAATCTTAAATAACGCCTAGGCCATCGATCATAGACCTGCATATGGAAGTATTGCAAGTGGAACAATTATCTGTACATGTTCAACAATATTTGTCTAGCATGATTTTTGTTGTAAATTTTTTACATTGTGATTGCTTGCTGTCGGACAAATCTTAATTATGAGAAGCAAAATCATTGTATTCTTGCTGGTTAATATAAATTCAAATTTCATCATATTGAGTCTTTGAATTTTATAATTCCTGTTTCATGCATGCATGGTCTGTTATGAAAATACAATCATATTACATATTGTATACATTAATTAGTAAACCTTAGTTACTAAACAACATATATTGTTCTTATTTTTACCTGTAAAATGAAAAATCAGTACACGTATTCAGCTCTTCCCCAATATTTTCAGTAAAAGTTATTAAAGAGCGAACGCGAAGTGACCTTGGGTAGTACATCACTTTACATAGTGTTTCGTAATGATGATAATTTGTGCCAAATATAATTTGAAAGTTTTAAGCAGTTAAAAAAGATATCGTTGCGCCCACATGTCCCAGGCCATCTCAAAAACTTTTCAACAGAATAAAAGTTATCGACAGACACACTAATGCCTTGTCCACATGAGTAAATGACAAAATGTGTTTAATAGAGTCTTTGAAATCATTAATGAAATTACTATAATATTAAATCTAATTTAAGCTAATTCGGTCTCAAGTTATTGATCCGACAACTAGCTCACTGTTGCCAAAACCATATTACATTGGTCATCTACTGGCCATGGACTATATCCTTACTAACTTTACCAAACGTAGGAAGTTATTGATCGGACAAGGATTATATACACAGTGTTGCTGTGAACTTGACAGTTGATTGACGTGTATGAAGGATCATAGACAATGTCCCACAAAGTTACATGAACCACTGCTGATTCCATGTAAAGGTATTGATTCGCCAAGGATAACATGGCCACATACAAAACTCTCCCCCACTTTTCAGAAATAAAATCTGGAATTCTTAATGTGCAAAAAATGTAAAACATAAGCAACTACTATGTATTTCTAGAAGAATTTATTTTCTGATTTACAATGGTTCAGATGGCTTAAGACTTTAATCTAGAAGTCACCATTTGTGTAGTGGTATACAATGAAAAGTGGTATGCCACACAATAATAAATGATAAAAATTCATTTGTATTATTTATGCATTATCATATCTAATAATGTTATACCAGTATATGTAAAATAGATATGACACTGTAGTATGCTCAAATAGCCAGCCTGAAATAATGAATATCATAGTCTTAGTTCCTTGAATTTAAAAGCATTGTTTTCTTTAGCTGGTAAAACAAACTGAAGCGACAAACTCAAATGTGAAAAATACAAATTGCAGGAGCTTTTTTAAAACTGAGCTTAAATAAGTATGTTTATACAATTATAAAGTGCTATAAGTATTAAAAGAATTTTGAATTATAAATTAACATACACATGTATAAGCATCTACATTATATTATCAATAGTCTACATTGAAATTTACCATCAACACAATATAGCTTTTGACAACTTTTTACAAATATTATCATACAGGTTATATAGCAAGTTAATGAAACAAGTGTTTCGATCTAGATCTTGTATTTATCTCAAATTGATTTTGCTAGAACTGGCCTTGGCAATTTAAATCTTTTTTTTTTCTAAGTTCTAATTTAAATCTTACGAATTTCACTGGTCAAAGTACATACTGTGGCAGTTTCTGACCAAGCTTAGAGAATATTTTTATTACCTCAGGAACTGGTTTACACAACAAATGAAGTGTGATAAGTGTGATCTGGTATAATGAGGTACATAAGTGCCATATACAAGTTTATATCAAGACAGTCTTCAGATGAACGTTTTATTATATTATACTTCCTTATATTATTATTATGACCATTATATAAAGTGATGATCACGTCAGCAACATTATGCCTGATACAACTTTCACATGTATGCAATGCTAATTTTCCTGCTTTCACATGTTGCATACACAGTATATTTAGCAAAATATTAACTGGTATAAAAAATGTAATATATATAAATGAGCTTGTAAGTTCTTGCATTATTTACAGCAAATAAATCAAATGATTACTTTTCATTTTAATCTCTACAACTTTAATATTAAAACATAAACATAGTAATATGGAGCTAGCAAGAGATTCCCTAATATTTATTTCATTTAACAGATCCAAATTCTAAATTGATAACAAGTCATTATGAATAATACACAAATACAAATTGTCCAACTTAACATTGTTGGAAAAAACAGTTTAATTTTTATTATAATTTGAAATGATAACATACATGTTAAGTATCATAAAATTTAGTTGACATAATTATATTGTTTAAATATAGAAAATATATGATTGATGTCGGGATGAAGAAGGTTTATCCGGTGTCAGAAGTGTATCTTGGCGAGCTTTAGCGAGCCATGATTCACTTTCGCAGCGAACGGGATAAACCTTCTCCATACCGACATCAACCAAGTATTTGATTTATCCTGCTTAGTTCATGTTTTTAGAATAATCAAATGGTTTCATTCTTCTTTTTCCACGATAAAATAGCATCTATATGCAGTTTTGTTTTGCTGTTAAACATGTGACATCATCATGTGACGTAATGACTGGAGATAGACAAGTTTATCCGGCAAGGCTTTATCCAGCTGATGATAAAGACAGTAGCAGGATAAAAAACTTTCTGTCATCATTATACAAACTCTACTTCTTTCACAGTTTCATGTACCCTTAAAATAAACCCAATATAAACACCCAGTAGAAATCTACACTAAAAATGTTTAGTCATGGACAATGACCTACATTTAATTTAAAAAAACAAAAACAAAAAAAAAAACAAAAAACTTTTGTATAATTTCAAGTAAATACCATCAGAGATTGTAGCAGTGGAATTATACAATAATGTATTTTCTTAATTCATATAGAGGTATTATTCATTAAAATCAATGCTTAAGCTATGTCTTTAATAATGACCTAAAATAAAAATGACACCAAAGTAGTGTCTTCAAAATTTATAGAGATAGAACTTGCAGGCAAAACCGTAAGTTTGTCAAGTCATAAACAGGTAAAATTTCATAGAAGTCCATACTAGAATTGGATCCTTGACAATTGTTTACCATTCTGAATTCCTGAAGACAGGTGTGAAGCTACAAGCCAAAACATCTTTAAATAACGCTTCTTATAGTGATTTCGCAAAACCAAAATTGAAAATAACATAATGTGTAGAAAACATGAGAAGCTGTATGTATAATTATGGCATACAATAAAACATAGTATCACAGACAAATCTGTAATCAATATATAAAAAAAATATTTAACTTGATAAATATCATTTTTGAAACAAAAAAGTTTAACAATAAGAATTGGATTGGGTTTGATCGAGTGTATTATCCTGCCAAGAAAAACAGCATCCATCAATGGATATCTTTCCCTGTTGTATTAGGCAGCTTGATGGCCGTCAACCCTCCAATAGTCAATAAAACTGATACCATAATCATCGGCACAGCACAATGGACATCCACTAAACTCCCGAAAGAAACATTCCCGAGGATGGCAGCAATCCGACCTACTCCAGACTGTAAACCAAATGCTGTTGACCTGCAAGTATATAGATTTAAGAAATAATATATCCGAAACAGTGATTTTATCGCTCAATAACATCACTGTTTGGAGTTCGGATGCGAGGAATTATATCACGAGAGCGTAGCCCGAGTGATATAATGATGCGCATCCGAATGACAAACAGTGATGTTATCAAGCGATAAAATCACTGATTTGGATATATTATTTCGATTCTAACACGACATCAACAAATAAATGTTGCCGTACTTGATAGTTAAGCAAAATTGCGCCTGATTTGTTTCCATACTTATTTTCAGCGCGTAAGATTTTGAGTGGTTACGTCACGTGTATAATGATTACGTCATATGTCTAAATATAGAAAGTCAAACTGTGCATCTGTTGCATAATAACACACACTTTCTGTTCCTCTATGTTCAATAGGGAAAAATGCGGGTCATTTTAGAATTGTTCATTAAGAATGAAATCCTTTATAAAATGGATATTTGTTTGTTTGTTTGTTTTGAGTGGACATATAATATCTTAATGAAATTTGCTGTGTTAATATTTCAAGATAAGCATTAAATTAATGTTGAAATCCTTTATACAATATATACATGTAAAGGAAATTTGTTTGTTTTGAGTGGACATACATTATCTAAATGAAATTTGCTGTCTTTATATTTCTTCAGAACTCTTGAAAGTAATAGCTTTATAAAAGGTGCCTGTTCTTGTCTGTAATTTTGCATTGAGGGGCACCTGAGGTCTTCCTCCTTCAGTAAAGATGGAAACAATAATCTGATCTCTACTGTGTTGGTGAGACATAAAACCCAACCAAAAAAAAAAAAAAGAAAAAAAAAACACATCCCCAACCTGTCATGGTGAATAACACAGACTATGACATTTGGATTATAATTTATTGGTGTTTTTACAGGACTTGAACAAACCAAGGAAACGGGCAAGATTGAAGAATTAAAAACTAGCCTCAACTAGTCAGCTATGAAGGCATTATTACTGATCACCAGATTCTTTAACTAATTAGTAAACAAACATATGACATACCTGACAGCTGTAGGAAAAAGTTCTGCCTGCAGGACATCTATAGCATTCCAGCCAACTGTAGTTACCGCACCAAATGCGCAAGATATGAGTAAATTTTGAACTTTACTGTGAACAATAGGTAGAAAAAATACAGTCACACCTGCTAACACCATACTTGTTGCTGAAAATATTATATCAGAAATCTTTTCAAAAAGATAATTTTAGCAAATTAGTGTCTGAGTGTACATTATACAATTACCTTATTTTCACAGCATTTTTCTCGATTTGATGTAGAACAACATGTTTTGTTAGCCTGTTATAGTTTGGGTATTGATGATAATTCAACCTTACATCTATGCTTGGAGCAATTCTCTATTCTAAAACTAAAATATGACAACTTTTCCACATCAGTTAAAGACATTCACATTGCCTATTTAAGTCCTTTTAAAGAGACCATGTATGAACCAAAGTCCATTATCTGATCATCGTATCGATTTATTCAGGGAATAGACATATACACATACAATGTTATCACATATATCAACTTGCATATATATAAAAACACGCACATAAATGCAACAAAAATAATTATAAGATTAATTAATGAGTATGTATGTTCTTTGTAACCCTAGGATTGCCCATTAAGCTAAAAGCTTATTTCCAATACCCGAGCTGTCTTGATAGCAGTGAGGCACTCAGAATCAATTGTTATCTTTTTCTTCAGCATTTATTGTATTTTTTTCCAATATCATTTCAATTGTTTTATCTATTTTTCTGTTTAATATACACAATCCTATACCGGGTGACAGTACAGATAGGAATATCTAGCTTAAGGGTAACTGTTAACAGCTGTAATGAGGCTCTGCCAAGTTTCCCCTAGACAGTTACCTGAGAGCTAGAGACAACAGCTGGTGTTTGATTCTTTTTTCTGGCATATTACATATTAATGACATTTTACAAAGATATTTCTAAAATTGATATTATTACTCGACACTTTTTTTATAGACGCTAGCATATGAATTTACAACTTTATTCATAACAGAACAATGACGTCATCCTAAGAACGCAATTCATTCATAAAAGGAGCATGGAAATGATGTCATTTAAAACACGCAACTTGTCTTACATGGGGGGTGTCAGACAGGTTTTCCTAGCACCAGTGTAAACAATGGATAATTCTGTCTGATAAGCCAGAAATTGCTATTCAGTAATGAGTATGCACAGTAAGAAAAGGTAGTGAATAATTTCACTATTAAAAATAAACACCTAGCAACCATAATGTTATGCTTTAACTAGCCATATAAATTCCATATCTTGCAGCAAAGCACAACCTGAAAAGACTTTCTAAATTTACATTTCTTACCTAGAAGTGGTTTTCTGCCTACTTTATCCATTATTAAAATGGTAAGTATATTTCCTGGAAGATTTGATAATGCTGTCATAAAGCCTTCAAAGAACACCCAATCATTGGGAATGCCATTGCATGTTGTTGTATCATTAGAAGATGTTGTATTTATTGTTGGATGACTACAAGGCGAGCCCCCGTACTTCTCAACTCTTGAAAAAATCTCTGGGAACCACATCCATAACCCATAATATCTGCAACATGAAATCATGCAAAATTTGGAAATCTGATTCTAACATAATATTCAAATCATGCAAAATCTGGAAATCTGATTCTAACTTAACATTCAAATCATGCAAAATCTGGAAATCTGATTCTAACATAATATTCAAATTATGCAAAATTTGGAAATCTGATTCTAACATAATATTCAAACTATTTCTGTGGCTGAGTGGTTAAAGTTAATGATTTCAAACCACTAGCCCTTTACGGCTGTGGGTACGAATCCCGCCATTTCAAGATTCTTTTATGTGAGGAAGCTATCCAGCAAGCTTACAGCATGTATATGGTTCTACTAAAGTTCCCATTCATGCCTAAATTAATGTACAGAGCATCACCTCAGGTCTTTCATCATCAGTGAGGCTGGGAAGTTGCTATTACATGACCTTTACACTGTTGGTGCAACATAAAACCAAGCCAAGAATGAGAAATATATGTTAATAGATATAGAAATATAGCATATTAGCCTATTGGATCTATTAACCCTTCTTTGCTAAATATCTTGAATTGACTTGTCCATCTTTCAAACTAGACGAAACCATTAATCATTTTAGGGAAAATTTCAAAATTATTACTGACTGAATAGCCAACAATGGAGACCATGATCAGATGAAACAGATGCCTGCTGAGCTTAGTTAAGTCTGCACTGGCTGCATGAGTAGAAGTAGTTGCCACCAGCAGACTTACGTTTAAGATTGCACATTGTGATGACTTGTCTGACTCTATCTTGTTTACATTGATATGTCTATATTATTACTGCAACTACTCAAAGCAAGCCCAGCTCTTAAAAGACCTCAAAGACCTGCCACTATCAAGAATTTAGTTCTCAAAAGCTTTACTGTAACATTAATTAGTTTAGAAACTTACCCGAAACTCAAAGTGAAGTTAATAACTATCATGATGACAGTTGTCCTCAATAAAGTTCTACCAAATAATTCCTGAGTTTGATGAAGTAACTGGAAAGTAAGAAAAATCAGAACATTTTATATAGTAATCCTGTATCCTTCACTAAATGCCTAATAATTATCATTTTAAACTATATACTGAGATAACATTTAAACAATGCTACATGTTATGTAGTACTATCCTGTTGACCATAGGGTTTCTGACAAAAAAATTATCAACAGTTTTGCTATACAAGTCTATGGAAAAATTGTAATATCAAACTCCAGGGCTATAATTTTATTACGTTTGATAGAGACCCACTAGACAATGCTATATACCAAATATCAAAGTTCTCAGCTATGTAGTTCTACATAGTTGAACTACAAATAAACAACTGCCCCATGGAGAAGGGCTTATTTTGATCCAAGGGGCATAATTCCAATAATTAGTGAAAAACTCTGACAATGCTAGTAGTTTAATATTTAGCCTTAGCCTAAAACAGTAATTTACATAAATACTACATGTATATACATGTACATGTAGGTTATAAAACTGACAAACTTGGTACAGGATCATCATACAACACCATTTTTCAATATCAAAATTCTGGCAAAGAGGATCCTTCATGAGAGCAATAAAAATATCAAGTCTATCAGCCAAACTTGCAAACTCTGTTTGATGGAGTGCAGAGTTGTCTATACTGTGCAAGTCTTTAGAGTTTGTAATCCTTAATCACCCAGCTTAAAGTTGCCAAGAAATGATTAATTACAAGATTTTACATGTACACCAATATGTAACTTACATGTCTCGCACCTTCTCTAAAAGTTGATTTTTCTTCTATAGAATCCTCCAATTGAACTATACCGTCTTTATCTTTTGTTAATATTAATCGTGATATCTGCAGAAATGTTCATGTCAAAAATAACATAATAAAAATATGAAATCACATTTGAATGTCAGTCAAAAAAATTGCATGTTCTTCTAGCTAAATTCATGACAATTAAGTTCTTTGGTAATGAATTACTCGGTATACAAGAATAATACATAAACTAGCATAAAAATCTTACTTGTTCCATTGATTATTTCATATATAACATTTTTATATAGAGGATACTGAACGAGTGTAGTTTCAACACTTAATTCATTGAACAAGTTGAATAATATTGTTTAAGCATTGAATCTACAAGACTATAAGACAATATTTTCTTCATAATTTTCAATACTGTAACTTTTAGAGACTTTTAAGAAGAAGTGGAAGAGAAAAATATGAGGATTCCTACAGTACATTGTTTAAAATATAAGACAAAGGGTTAAAATAGTATTACCTGCAGTGGTCCACTTCTACCATTTACTCTATAAACTGTTCTTAAACTGTCTAATGCTTTTCTCTCCTTGCCCATCTAAATATAAAATATTTTAAGCATATCAATTTCCTTGTTCTGTTTACCACATTTTTATTAACAGGAAACAGTGTGGATTGTTCTGATTCCCTGATTATATACAAAGGTACCAGTCTATAGTGTTCTAATTCCCTGATTATTTAAAAAGGAACTCGTCCTTTGTGATATTCTAGATATTGGGTGAAGTCACTGATCTTTGATCTCTCTAAACTAACACAGCATTTCTTTAGTTGCAGAAACTTGAATGAATAGAAGTGACTGGCAAAAAATGTTAATGCCTTACTCTCAAAGCTCTTTAGTTCTTATAGCCACTATTCATTGACAGTTAATTAATCACATGATGGAAGCAAAATTTCTAGATGGATTTGAACTAACTTACAGTAAGGAAAAATTTTGGACTCTCTGGCATAAAGGCAAACATTGCTGCTGATGTAAGGCTAGGTATTGTACAGATTGCTACAAAAATCCTCCAACTGTTGTATGTGAACTTCTCAGAAAAAAATCCAAGTTCTGGATGTGGAATTACTGCCCAGGCCAGCCCTGTACAAAGCATAAACATGATACAAATAGAAACAAAACAATCATCAGATGGATTTCTTACACCACTTTTCTAATCTCAATGCTTAATATGTAAAGAAGAGTCTGTAGGAATTCACAAAGGAAAATATTTCAATAAAATCAACAATATAGTTATGTGACTTATCTTTAAGATAAATATCCCCTACAGTTATGACCCAGTAGTACATGTATTATTAGAAATTTCAGGGGCATAGCTTAGTGTTTCTGAAAAATTTTGTAAGTTAAGAAAGGTCTATAATTCAATTAAAACACAGAGATACTAATTTTTGATATGACTTTTAACTTGTTCCCAAAGACATTGTGTAAAGTTTAAACAAGAACCTACAGTATTTGTAGAGATCTTGCATGCAGAACTAGAACAAAAATTTATCAACTGCACAAAAGGCGAGAACTAAGTTTAAACCCTTACTAGAGTTTAGTTTTCATTGATTATCATAATGAAGGTATGTGTGATGTTTTAAATTGATACCATCATTATAGTAAAAACTGACCTTGTACACAAAAAACTTTCATAAGGCATTTTAGTTTAGTTTTAGTTCACACTGGTCAACAATTGGTCAAAATCTAAGCTCCAACTATTGTGGGCTTTGGACAGTATCTTAAAATTATGATCCAGAAAATAGGTATGAGGTGTTAAATGAACCTTCATCAGTGGTTAATAAGATAAGAAGTTTAATTGTTGAGCTAAATAATAAAATTGAAAATTTAATATGTAGTCATCTTTTATGACTGTTTGAAAATATTGGTTGAGTATAATATACATTGTATGTATAAAAATTCTTAAGTAACAGCCAACCATTATTTAACTGCAATTTATTTAATTCTCAATTTAAAAAAATAACCAAAACATAACAAAAAGAATAATAAGGTCTGTTTTCAATGAGACTTTAATAAATCTTATACAAACTTGATCTAAAATTCAGTGATGAAGTTATCAAAATGAATAAAATGGAAACCATTGTTTTAATTTAGAGACCAAGGTTTTCATTTAAGTTGATGTTGGTACTTACCGGTAGCATTATTTGTAGCTCAGTAAGATTTATAGTTTTACTGATCATACTATAGCTGACCTAACAACAATATGGGGTAAATACATGTTACTACAAATGGACAAAAGTAATCACTCCCATGTACCTACAAAAGTGGGTAATTAGTGAGTAGTTAACATTTAAGTCTCCAAAAGTGTTCCTCATTCATCACTGTAATTTGGAACTATTGCTGGTTACATTGGGTGAGCTTGTATTCTTTTTTTTTTTTTTTTTTTTGCAAAATAAACAGTCCTGTCATGTTTTCAATTGCAATGTTGGCACCAACCCCTCCCCCCATCTTTTGCTTTCTGAGGAGGGATTTGCTCTTTTCTTCTCACTCTTAAAGTATTGATTATGGCCGCATAATTTAAATTACTACTAGATTAACAAGAGGGCCATGATGGCCCTGAGGTCGCTCACCTGTATATAGCCCCCCCCCCCAACACACACACACACCCATAAGAAGATGTTTCATGCTAAACATCTAAGCTCTAGCTCATTGGGCTTTTTAAAAGAAGATTTTTTTTAAGTTTTTACTATACACATATAGTTAAAAACAATGACACCCCTGGGGCGGGGCCAGTTTTGACCCAGGGCTTTTATTTGAACAAACTTTGTAGACACTTACTAGGAGATGTTTCATGCTTAATATCTAAACTCTAGCTATTTGGGTTTTTTCAAAGAAGATTTTAAGTTTTTGCTATACACATATAAGGACAATCAATGACCCCCGGGGCGGGGCCAATTTTGACCCCAGGGCTTTTATTTGCACAAACTTGGTAGACACTCATTAGAACATGTTTCATGCTAAATATCTTAGCTCTAGCTATTTGAGTTCTTTAAAAGAAGATTTTTTAAGTTTTTACTATATGCATATAGGGAAAATCAATGACCCCCTGGGGCGGGGCCAATTTTGACCCCAGGGCTTTTATTTGAACAAACTTGGTAGACACCCATAAGAAGATGTTTCATGCTAAACATCTAAGCTCTAGCTCTTAGGGCTTTTTAAAAGAAGATTTTTTAAAGTTTTTACTATACACATATAGTTAAAAACAATGACACCCCTGGGGCGGGGCCAGTTTTGACCCCAGGGCTTTTATTTGAACAAACTTTGTAGACACTTACTAGAAGATGTTTCATGCTTAATATCTAAACTCTAGCTATTTGGGTTTTTTCAAAGAAGATTTTAAGTTTTTGCTATACACATATAAGGAAAATCAATGACCCCCGGGGCGGGGCCAGTTTTGACCCCAGGGCTTTTATTTGAACAAACTTTGTAGACACTCCATAGAAGATGTTTCATGCTTAATATCTAAACTCTAGCTATTTGGGTTTTTTCAAAGAAGATTTTTTAAGTTTCTGCTATACACATATAAGGAAAATCAATGACCCCCGGGACGGGGCCAATTTTGACCCCAGGGCTTTTATTTGAACAAACTTGGTAGACACTCATTAGAACATGTTTCATGCTAAATATCTTAGCTCTAGCTCTTTGGGTTCTTTAAAAGAAGATTTTTTAAGTTTTTACTATATGCATATAGGGAAAATCAATGACCCCCTGGGGCGGGGCCAATTTTGACCCCAGGGCTTTTATTTGAACAAACTTGGTAGACACTCACTAGAAGATGTTTCATGCCAAATATATAAGCTCTTGCTCTTAGGGTTTTTTAAAAGAAGATATTTTAAGTTTTTTCTTTTGGGTGCCATGGCAACCAGAGTTCTTCATGGAATTAAATTCTTTGAACAATTTTTAAAGGTGACCACCAAAGGAACATTCCTGTGAAGTTTGGATGAAATTGGCCAAGTGGTTTATGAGGAGATGTCATTTAAAGTAAAAGTTTACGGATGCCGGACGACGGACGCCGGACGAAAAGCAATCACAAAAGCTCACCCTGTCACTTTGTGACAGGTGAGCTAAAAATCCACATTTTAGTCTAACACTCTATTAAAACATTATACAGGTAAAATCTCAACCATTCTACCTTGTATATCTCTATCTAGGAGTCTGTCTGGTGATATACACACTGTTAATTCTCATGATGCCCAAATTTGTAAATAAATCTTTATTATAAACATAAACAAACAAATGAAATGCTAAGTAACAATACTAGAGCATAGATAACCACATAAAGGTTTAAGTAGTCTCTCTTTGTTACCAAGATCCAAAATAGGGTTCAATAACCACAACTATTGTTTGAGCAATTAGGTTTGAATACTAGTAATATGATTTAAGTAATTGGAAAGAAGTTTCAAGTATTTACCAGCAGCTATTATATTCCCCATCATCCAGAATGTGGCTAATGCACTTATCATGGTTCCCCTTCGCTGTTTAGGAAGAAACTCCGTAAAATAGGAAAATATCACAGGTATGCTTCCACCAACACTGAAATTTATACATTGTTAATTTATGTTTACCTTTGGTCTGGCTGCATCAAGCTATTAAGTGCCTATAATGTTTTTTATTCTGCTACAATTGGAGGCTTAATTATACCATTCTGATGTAAAAGTGTCAGGGCCTCAATCTATAGAAAAGGGGCATAATAAGAAAAAATTTCAAAAAAAAAAGAAAAATGTCCCTTGACTTCTTTTCTCATCTTTAATAAAGAAGGTAACTATGGTTTTTAGTAATTATCATGTCATTAAGAGACACAATTTATATCTGGGTACAAAAGTAGCAATGATTCTTTTTCTGATGTAGAAGACAACTTTCAAGCATTCCTAGTGAGGGAAGATTTAAAAAAAAAAGTCTCACTTTGCCTTATTAGTATCAAGCACTAGACTAAAACCAATGACATTTCTGTAAGCATAACTGGATAACTGCGTATCACAGTTCATTCAATAAAGTAATTGATAAGACACTTACCCCACACCACTTATAAACCTCATTATAAGAAACAGCCAGAACACTTGAGATGTACTTGACACCAAACCACCCAGCCCATTTACTGTCAGTGAGCCCATCAACACAGAACGACGCCCAAACTTGTCCGCCATTGAGCCCCAAAAATAACCGCCTACCATCATACCTACAGGTAATATAAAGTTTGACATTGTGAATTGGCTGCAATTTTCAACATAGCACAAAAATCACATTGTAACACTTCAAACCATACATATCAAAACATCTGATAACTACATCTGATAGTATAAAAATCAAGGAACAAAATTAATAACAATACAAGAGTTGTCAAATGGACTATAGGCTCAAATATTGCCAAAGCTTGTGCTTGATATTAAAAACAAGAGATATGTAAAATTCTTAAATGTTTGCAAAGGGAAATAATTTAGTAACTCTTATTTGTTTTATATATTCATAATTTTAATGTTAAAATGCTATGTAAACTCACACACAGAACATGACTTTATGTTCACTCTTTGGTGTTTTCAAGAAATAAGGAATTTTTTTTTGCAATGAATAAATCGTACTTGTCAAAATTTGAGGTCTGCAAAATTTCTTTGATATTTCGTATAAAAGCAATGTTTTTGAGTTAAGCTAGTACCAAATAAATTAGTCACTACTACCAATATAATTTTTCATGCTTTCAACATCAATATCAAACAACATATTCTTCTTTTTTTATAATCTATTGTGTGATAATCTGTTTGAATTACTGTTAGCAATTAAGTATACTACATACTGTGTATGATATAAGTTAAACCTTTACTTATTCCCATTTTGCTGCAAATGTCAATTAAAATGCAGAACTAGAAAAAAGTTAAGCACCTCTGAGAATTTTGTATACATTTTCATTTTAAAGCAGCCTACAATAATATTTGCTGTAGCTAACCATATTTATTATTGCTTGTGACTAGGGGTTATGACGAGCACTGTTACCCACCTACAAATATGATAGCATTGAGCCATCCCTTGTCCTCGGAGGATAATTTGAGGTCACATTGAGCAGACGGCAGCATGAAGGACACTGAAAGTACTTCAATGGCATCACTGGACACTGCCCATCCACACAATGCCAGCAATATAATGTGAAACTTTCCATAACCTGAAATTTACATCAGAGAAACCTGACTTATTCAAGTTTTTTGTTTTAACAGTTTATTTAAACATTCCAATATTTCTTGATAGGAATCAAATTCTAAATGTAGTTTATCACATAAACCGCGGCGCAGGAGTGTAATAAAGCCATGTAATAAAAGCGATATTACACTAGTGTAATAACACTTTGACATGACGTCATTTGCGCTATATAGAAACATAGCCTTAAAGCACGCTAATGTTAGCGTTACACTGTAGGCGCGTCATTAAAAAATTACTCATTTTAACAGTTTACTGGTCATATTTTATATATGTGATAAATAGAATATTATATTCGTGTAGATTCAATACTAAATTTATTGAACTCGTTGAATAAAACAATATTATGCTCGCCAGAGGCTCGCATAATATGATTTTATTCAACTTGTTCAATAAATTCAGTATTAAACTACACTCATTTAATATCCTCTATATATGGTATATGTAGTAATCAAACATAAAGAAAAAATAATGTAAATCTAAATGAGAAGATGAAAATAGAAATTAAAGAATATTCCAAATACATAATCAAGTTTATCAGCCTTTAGATTTCTCATCAAAGTAACTTTCTTCTAAAAATTTAAAAAAAGCCTGATTTAGATATATTTAGATTACCGTACAATAAAAAAATATCTTCTTCAAGTAACGATCAGTGAAAATGGACTGAATTCTTCAAAAATGCAGTAACATAGAAACCTCAAATTTGCCATAGCTTTTGAGCTGAAGATACAAATGTAAGTATTATGCCACTAAACCTATGGATTTTCGGATTGAAGCTTTTGATTGTATCAGTATTGGGACCATACATTCCCAGAAGATATCATAGCTGGTTTAAGTAAGACAAAAGAGCTATAAAAATATATTTATCTTTGCTAAAAGAACAAGTTTTACAAAAAAAATCTTTAAATTTTACAAAGCAATCTCTGCACAGTGGCCTTTGGTAGAAAAAATAACCTCTTTACAACAAGTTTCAATTTTCTTGAAGTAAAACTGTAACTTCACCATGAATACATGCATAACCACTTTTTATTACAACTTAACTCTCAGCGACAATTAAATCATTGATTCCCAAAGAACATTGCTCTTTAGAGTTTGCACTGTACATAAGAACCTTAACAACTATCAAGTGACTAAGAATTCTGACCTACCTATTGTCTTTAACGCTGCCTCATAGGAAACAGGCTCATCACTATTATCTGAAACAACAAATACAAGTACATTATGAAATATCTATATCCACTAATCACTTCAATTATATAGCATCTTAAACCAAAATATAAAACTATATATAACATAATGAAATATCTTCACACATCATGTATACATGTACATGTATATATATATAGTTTGCTACAAGAGCAATATTATAGACAAGGGATATCAATACATTTTTGTGGTTCAAGATGAAAAGATTGAATTCCAATCTTATATCTCAGATTTAGTAACATATGTTCAGGTCTTGGCAATATATTGAACAGCAAAATTTATTTAAAGGCTAATTTACTTATGAAAAGAGCATATCAATAGTCATTGCTTCTTAACCTGTATTAGAATTAGACATCAGATTATTATTTTGATATATTATGTTGGGACATCATCAAAATGCGCTTAATAGCTTTTCTTATTCAAAAAGTTTTTTTTGTGTGTGTATGACTATCTCTTACAACAGAACTATAAGAAACAAGACAGTATTTAAATAAGTATGTGAAATTCTATCAAGGTCAAATCAGTTTAATTTTATTTTTGATTTGACAGAACAAAGCCCATACTATTATCAACCACGAAGATACCAGGATTGATCCAGAAATAATATCACTGCGTTATAAGGTTTGTCACTTTGTTTACCCTGCCCTTTTTACTTACCAAAAAATGTTCCTCATTCAACTCAGGAAATAGATGATCAATACTTTTTTTCTAAAAATTGTGCATTGTTTAAAATTTACCCAAGACTTTCTCGAATTGATTATTGCCATGCCCTAAAATTACAATAGTTTTCTACGCCTTCGAGACCGGCAATAATAGTAATTTGTTGATTAATTATTACAATAATCAACCAAATTTGGTTCTTGTCATTTTAAATTTTTTTTAAACAGGTTCGAATCTTTACATGGTAGCTCTAGCATGAGTATCACTGCAAAAGAAAAACAGATGTCAATTTCTAAATAAAAACATTGCCAAAATCAATCTAAAACTAAGTGTTCAAAGCACAACTATAAGACAAGAATTTTCTCAAACAAAACACATCTATAAAGTACAGGAATTTTCTCCAAAAAAAAAACAAACTATCATACAAAAAGATTCTCCAACAGCCACAACTATTTTTAAGACAAGAAATTTTCTTCACAGCACAACCCAAGCCCATAATTTTTCTCCACAGCACAACTATTAGACAAAGAATATTCTCCACAGCACAACATAAAGACAGGGCTTTCTCCACCAGTACAAAACTATTTAGACAAGAATTTTCTCCACACAGGTCAACTATCAGACAACAATTATCTCAACAGCACAAGTATAAGACAAGGGAATTTTTTCCACAGCACAACTATTTAGACAAGAATTTTCTCCACAAGAACAAGTATAAGACAAGACTTTTTCTCCACAGCACAACTATAAGACAAGAATTTTCTACACAGCACAAGTATAAGCCAAAAAAATTTTCTCTACAGCACAAGTATAAGGCAAGAATTTTTTCTCCCACAGCATAATTATAAAACAAAAAATTTTCTCCACAGCACAACTAAAAGATAATAATTTTGTTCACAGGACAATGCTAAGACAAGAATTTTTCTCCTAAGCACAACTAAAGCCAAGAATTTTCTCCAAAGCACAACTAAAGCCAAACATTTTCTCCCAGAGCACCCAACTTTAAGATAAGAATTTTCTCCACAGCACAACTAAAGCCAAGAATTTTTTCCAAAGCACCAAACTAATTGCCAACAATTTTCTCCAAATCAAAAACTACAAGAAAAAAGAATTTTCTCCACAGCACAACTAATGTTAAGAATTTTCTCCAAAGCACAACTAATGCCAAGAATTTTCTCCAAAGCAAAACTTTAATGCCAAAATTTCTCCACAGCACAACTAAAGCAATAATTTTCTCCACAGCCACAATTTATAAGACAAGAATTTCTCCAAGGCACAAAATAATTCTTAAAAATTTTCTCCAAAGCACAACTAATGCCAAAAATTTTCTCCACAGCACAACTTATAAGAAAGAATTTTCTTCCACAGCACAAGTAATGCCCAAGAATTTTCTCCACAGCAACAACTATAGTCTAAGATTTTGGCTCAACTTCTAGCACAACTAATGCAAGAATTTTCTCCACAGCACAAAACTATAAGACAAGAATTTTTCTCCCACAAGAACAAATTTAATGCTAAGAATTTTCTCCAAAGCAACAAACTAATGCCAAGAATTTTCTCCACAGCACAACTAATGCCAAGAATTTTTCTCCACCAGCACAACTATTAAGACAAGAATTTTGCTCCCACCAGGCACAACTAATTGCAAGAATTTTCTCCCCAAAGCAACAACTTAAAAAAGGGCCAAGAATTTTCTAAGTTGTAAAGAGTTCAACATCCATGCTAGGGTTATAGACCTTTGGAAAATTGTTCTTCTTCTTATTATTATGTAAATACACAATTTCGAATAGGTAGCAAAGTCCGACATTCTTCAAATGAAAATAATAAATGATTGAGATAAAAAGAATTTAATTAATAAATTCTGCTTCAATTTCTCTAACCTTTTTCTTTCACTATAAAATAAAGAGGATCCCCTTCATTCAAATATCCATTTTCATAATTTTGAATAATTATAAAACACACATACACTAATTAGATTAAGATGACCCAGTATTCTTTACATTTTATTCTGAATCATAACCTTTAGCTCAGTGTTCATACATTATTTGTTAATGTTATCAATCTTTGTTTCTACCATTGAACTGTTAAGCTCTTGCCTATAGATGCAAAATTAAAATATCAAGGGAGACTAACCATTTTTACTTAATATTAACTAGGAGTTCAACTGTTCTTGACTGTAACTTTTGTTACAAGGTTTATTCAAATGAGATAATCAAATTAACTCTACGTAAAATAAAAAATGACCTGAATTGACATTTTGATTGAACTGCCATCAGGTTTTAGTAATAGTTAACCAAATTAATATAATATGTTAAAAACCTTTGATAACATGTAAGTAGTTGGGTCAACAAAACCACTATGAAAAAGTTTATTCATACTGGTTACGTTGACACAGAATGGAAATTTATAATTGAAAAAAAAAATCTTATTCACATATTTAAAGGAGTAAATTCTTTCAAATTTGCCAACATTTTAAGATTTTTTCATGACTTTCCCAAATAAGATTTGATGTATTTGATAAGTTTATCCATACTGGTACACTTTAATTTACTGTGAATATCAACTGTTATCAAACAATGGTGATAAGTTTTATTATGATTACATTATTTTTCACATGGCCGTTTAAAGTACACTGATGGAAAATTACAAAACTTCATGGCATGAGAAAGTGCATGTCACGCTGCTAATAAGATCATAGTCCTACTTATTGAATAATGAGTTTATAAAAAAGTAACCTCTTGTTATAACACAGAATAAATTATGGTCTTATATAGAACATTACATGGACAATGCTATAGGTCACTAGCTATTATAGCTTATATTATACTTTTGCCTATGTTACTGTTCTATTTAAAAATTTTATGGTAAACCTAATTTTTATGAGGAGCTAGGTCCATAATAAGCAACAGCTTAGGTGAAGTTCTATGCTATCTTAATATACACATGCATATGAATATTATCAATGTAAATTGCAAAGTTTTACATAAATAATATAACATATGATAGAGCTGTCATCGATAGTAACATTGTTGATTTATCGTTGATATTTTTCTGTCAATCAATAATCAATATAACACATTTCAAAAAAAAATGATAATTTTGACTTATTAATTAAATGTCTAGAAATGTTAGGAAAATTCACCCAAAACATATACATGTACAGAGAAGCAGGTGCCCATGTCTAACAATATATGTTGTTATAATTATAGTAGCAATATTTCACAGTAATGATGACAAAAAAATGGTCTGGAAAAAAATCACGCAATGGGCTTTTATAAACAAGACATGAACAGTACATGTTTTCATCTGAAATCATCTAAACAGGTATAAAAGTGAATGACAGACAAGTAAATGTAGGTTATTATTGATATATCAGTGTATCATTGATATTTGTCATCTGATATTGATATATCGTTGATATGCCTTGCCTTGAATAAATGACAGTTCTAACATATGATGATCTGTGCATGTTTGCAGCCACATGTTGATCTGTTGTACATCCTTGAGGAAGGAAGCCAAAACACAAATCTAACAAGAAATTTGTAACATACTGTAAAATGGTGTACAACTACATTATTACTGTTTAGCTTAAAAATTAACCAATAACCTGGCTGAATTTCTTAAATGGACTTGTCCAGCTTTTATTTTTGGAAACATTCCATTATTCCTGTTTTGGAGTATATCAAGATTGAAAACTGAAAGTTATATATAATAAGTCAGTTGAACAGTTAGAGGCTGTTTAAACTGCACATATATGTTGCAAACACTCAGCTGGCTGGCAAAGCTTTAATCGACTACATCACTTCATTAATGGTATGGGTTCGGATATAAACTCATTAAAGGTTGTTAATCAAAAGCCCATATACATGTAAATTAGAGACCCCAGGTAATTTTTATTTTCCTACTTTTGGTAGTAGACCAAGGTCAAACCCATTGGAGAAATATTTTTGAAAAAAATGTGTGAATTTTTAAGAAACAAGAGGGCCATGATGGCCCTGAGGTCGCTCACCTGTATATTTTGGTCCCCCACCCGCCGGTCAAATCCCCCACCCCCCCCCCTAACGTTTGCAGGGCCAAATTTAAACCCAAAGGCTTTTATTTGCACATCCATAAGAAGATGTTTTCATTGCTAAACATCTAAGCTTTTAGCTCATTGTCGGGCTTTTTTAAAAGAAGATTTTTTTTAAAGTTTTTACTATAAACAGTATAGAATAAAAACAATGACAGAAAATGGCCCCTGGGGCCGGGCCAGTTTTGACCCCAGGGCTTTTTATTTGAACACAAAACTTTCTAGACACTTACTAGAAGATGGTTTCATGCTTAATATCTAAAATCTAGCCTATTTGGGTTTTTCAAAGAAGACTTTTTAAGTTTTTGCTTATACACATAATTTATAAAGAAAATCAATGACCCCCGGGGTGGGGCCAATTTTGACCCCAGGGCTTTTATTTTTTGAACAAACTTTGGTAGACACCTATTATGAAACATGTTTGCATGCCTTTAAAATTATCTTAGCCATAGCTCTTTGAGTTCTTTAAAAGAAGATTTTTTTAAGTTTTTACCTATTATGCATATAGGGAAAAATCAATGACCCCCTGGGGCGGGCCAATTTTGACCCCCCAGGGCTTTTTTATTTGAACCAAACTTGGGTAGATCACCCAATTAGAACATGTTTCTTGCTAAATATCTTAGCTCTAGCCTCTTTTGGGTTCTTTTAAAAGAAAGATTTTTTTAAGTTTTTACTATATTGATATAGGGGAAAAATCAATTGACACCCTGCGGGCGCGGGGCCAATTTTGTCCCCCAGTCTTTTATTTTAAACAAACTTGGTAGACACTCACTAGAAGATGTTTCAATGCCAAATATCTAAGCTCTAGCTTCATTATTGGTTTTTTAAAAGAAGATATTTAAAGTTTTTTTTCTTTCGGTTGCCATGGCAACCAGAGTTCTGCATGGAATTAAATTCTTTGAACAAGTTTTAAAGGTGACCACCAAAGGAACATTCCTGTGAAGTTTGGATGAAATTGGCTTAGTGGTTTATGAGGAGATGTCATTTAAAGTAAAAGTTTACGGACGGACGGACGACGGACGGACGCCGGACGAAAAGCGATCACAAAAGCTCACCCTGTCACTTTGTGACAGGTGAGCTAAAAACAACAGCCAAGTTGTGGATATTATCATGATTCAAAACATAACAATTTAAAGCAGTTGGTACAGTGTCCCTATCTAAAACATTGAATGAGCAGAATATGCAATACATGCCCTTTCTATATGTATATAACTTAAATTTTCACCATGGTATTGTTCACCGTAAGTAAGTTAAGTGCATATTAAAGTATATCAATATTGTGACTATATCACAAAACATAAAGTTATTGTTCTGAGTAAAGAGTAAATTACAAGTATGATAAAGAGCTAGATATAAAGAGCAAGTATAACAGTAAAGTACACAAAAATGAGTTATCGGTAACCTTAACACTTCAATGTTGACAAAAATATACCTATATTATCATCTGTCAGTAAATGATCCCTCTCCTCTACATCATCTATATCTGTATCCATCTTGAATAATTTTCTCCCAGTTGTCATAGTAACACATTTTATAATCTTAACATTTTGTATGTTCACATATACTTAATATAATATTTGTTTTGTTACCACTGTCAATATTTCTCATGATTCTGTTAAAATATTAGATAAAAATTGTCCCTTTTCTTCTTATTTTAATTCCAATGTTTCTATACTCTGTATATAAAAGATTACTTTCTAAATTCATGTACATGTATAGAACACCAATGAATATAGCTCATTAGTATCTCAGATAAATTCTTAGTACAATAACTACAGTAAAAATAATTTGGAAAGTGAAATGTTCTTTTATGAATGAGTCTAGACATGATCCCAAATCATGGACAAATCAATTTACAATATAAGTAAATTTATTTTCCTGTAAAAGCAGTTGTAATTCTCTACCTAACTTGTTTGTATTTTCAACAACAACTACACAGTTTGTGAAAAAATTCCGCCAGTATTAGTCATACATCATCAAGGGCATAGACAGGCCTATTTGAAAAGATAGGGATATTTTCTTAAAAATTATTGTCCAGAGGAAGCATGATTTCTTTTCATTCTAGATAATAAATATTGTTTGTTTATGAGACTTTCTAGTAAGCAAAATATAGGCACAGGCATACACCAGACAATCAGAGACATTACAATAATTGAGGCGCGTCACGACAAAACCAACATAATGGGTTTGCGACCAGCATGGATCCAGACCAGCCTGCGCATCCCCGCAGTCTGATCAGGATCCATGCTGTTTGCTGTCAGTTTCTCCACTTGTAATAGAGTTGGTAAGCGAACAGCATGGATCCTGATCAGACTGAGTGGATGCGCAGGCTGGTCTGGATCCAGGCTGGTCACAAACCCATTATGTTGGTTTTGTCATGACGCGGCTCAATTATCATAAATTTATACAAGGTAAAGTCTTTCCTTTGCAATGTACAAGTAAAAAAAGTAAAACATAGGATTAAAAGGGTACCCTTCATTTCAAGTCTCTTTTTTATTCCAAGAATGGATGACACCTGATAAGTTATCTCTTATCCAAACCAGAGAAATGCTGAATTATCACTGCTTTTATACATAAATTTATCAATGAGAAATTCTCTTCAAACTGAGGTAAATACTGGGGTAGGTTAAACCAAAACACTTCCTCTTAACATAAGAATTCATCTTTAAACAATAACAAAAGTATAAGTTGATGACAAGGTGAGAAGGGATTAGATAAATCAGCAATTTTGTCATTCTATCATTCAAGTTGTTCATGTCATCCAGTGCGAATGTTTACTAACAGTTCTTTAAAAAAATGCACAAATTCAATGTTTCAAAGATATCTTATACTTCATTAAGCAAAAACAGTCAGTTCATCATCAGCAAAAAAACAGTCCGGGTAAAGCAAATAAACTAGGCAATTTTAATCAGCAAACTTAGTATTATCAACCAGAAAATGTACATTAGGTGCATTTAAGTCAAGATCTGAACCTAAAGCAAGGGGTAATATTTTCAACAGTATCTTGGAAATAGAGAACTTTACATTAGTTAATTAGGAAGTAAACAGGCTAATCAAAATATCACATTGATAAGTATGCTTTGATTTAACTTTAAAGTAATGCACAGAACTGTATATTACTATTCCTCCAAAACACATTGTGAATGCTTTGTACATAAACAAGCTGCTCCTTTGTCTCTAAATCCCAACCACACTAAATATTTTAAACCAACTTATCCATCTTTTAAAACTGGATAAAACCATTCCCCATATTTAGAGAAAATTCCAAAATATGTACACTACTGTAAGAATTTCCAACAGTGCAGGCCATTATAAGATAGCATGATCACTCAAGCCAGGGCACAATCACCACCAATTACTTTAAAGAAATAGTATACATGTGACCAGGAAATGGGTGATAATGTAATTCTCATGCGAATGAAGAATTATGTTTGTTGCAACTCACTGAGAGTCCGAGATGTGACAATATTAAACTTCACCTTCAAACTAGAAGACCAAAGCATTCAGAATGTATGGGCGCAGACATCTTCATATTAGGAAGTGTTATTTAAAGTTTGGGGGAAAACAAAGTAACTAGGAGCAGACAACAGAAAACAGACTATATTGTCGGGTTCCTAAATTTGCCCCTGTCCTAGAGGCAACACCATTACTATGGATGTCAAAAAGTCTCAACAAATAGTCGTTAAGAAAAGAAAGAGTTGGATATTTTTAAAGCAGCACACCTCCAGATTCATGATAATTTTCATGAAAATTTTGGAAAAGTATTTAATATTAAAATATTGTGAGGTGAACAAATAAAGTAATTTAAATAATGCAATCGGCACTTACAATCCAAGAAAATTACCAAAAAGTGGTCAACATATGCAAAAATAGCCCTTACTGCGTTGGTAACGCAGTAAAATTATGGTGATAAAATACTGCAAAGTCAGTCCTAAACCATAGATGACATGTAAAATATAACTTTGATCTTCAATAATTTTACCTTTCTTAAAATTTTAGTACATTCTTCTCAATATTGATTTTCTTGAAATAGTTCGGCTCATCTGGAGTTTTAAACATCAAATTAAATCTAATGTATCTGCAAAATTTCTTCAACACAAAACGCTTGGATCATTAGACAAAATGGTTTATCAAACTAGCACTATAAAATCCTTAAAGTAACAAATCATCGCCACCATAAAAGCATCATATTGTCTAGCCTGGTTTCATACCTTCATTTTCAACGGAATATAGTGTAAGGGAAAGGAACTCCAGACTACGTACAGTCTTTTCAAAGTTTAAGCAAACAACATACTGGAGACCACCAAAACCGGACAACCACCAAACCCGAACGACCCAGAAAATGCTTAATTTAGATTTTTTTCTTTGTTCAGTGGTTTTCAATCTATCAGTCACTTTATTATCAACATGCATGTTTCTTCTATGATTAATAAAATTTATTTCAACTTCCGTAAACGGTAATATTTTATTGTCTATTTCAAGAATGTTGACGCTGAAAATTGGGGCATCAAGTGTGCAATACCTGACCTCATATACCACCTATAATCATTTGCAGAGTAAACAATAGAATATCCAAAACTTCAGCATTTGCTGCTGAAATATTTTATATTATGTTAAAATAAAAAATTAAAACACAAAAGCTTTTATTGAATTAAATCAGCACCATGCACATATCTGTCCGGACACATGGTACTGTAGTGTGGACAATTCAGGTAATTTTGATACCCTCCTTCACAGGCCTCAGATATAAGCATCAACACAGTCAGAAATATACAAACGAGTCTGTTAGTTCGGAGAAGATCCTAGCTGTACTGAGTAAAATTTTCAGATCTCTAGCTTTAAAATTATAAAATCTGTATGGAAAAATGTTAAAAAAGTGTCCGGTTTGTGGTAGCCAACCAGTACTGTTATAACTATATATAAGAGATTTTACAACTAAATGAACAAAGAAAGCAAGCATTAGTGAGTGACCATGGGATTAAATCGTTAAATATTTCTGAGTGCAGTATCACTGAGGTATATTAGAAATGAATGATGATTCAACATCAACAACATTTCAGCAGTCGATTTTGTTCCTGAGAACTTTAATAAACTATAATCAATAAAATTATATTTTTAAAGATAAATCTGCATTTCTCCCGTTTAGACCCATTTTTATAAATTTTGTGTACTAGTACCCTAGAAAGAATTTTGATAAGCTAAACTAAAACCGATATGTTCGGAAGTTTTTTATGGAAGTACTTATTAACTCATGATTTAAGTTTTTTATGGAAGTACTTATTAACTCATGATTTTAATTTTAAATAACGTTTTTTTACTTTGTCCTTGATATAATTTTTGCCTTGACAGTTCTATGACGTGGTAACACTTTTTATGGGAAATTTTGATCTCGATGAATTTATAAGCTGTTTACAACATACTGTTGCATGTACATTTTGAATGATTATAAACTACATAATATATCTTAATTTTTAATACAACAAATGGATTTAAAAAGACAAAAAAGATCTTTGAATGAAAAATCAGATTTCGATGTTTACTTTCTAATGTTTACATGCGTTCAAATGATCATGATTTACTTAGGCTTTATGCCACAATAGTTTTTACAAAGGCTAAAGGATACTAATAATTTTGCAAAGATTACTACTTCGGTGGTTTATAGAAATTTATCAGTGATATAAAACTTTGATAATTTCACTGTTTTGAATTTAACCCCTTACGTTGTATCAGAGAAATACCAGCGTGCACAGTACTGGGTACCAACTTAATGACGTGACGTCGTAAATGACGTCACGTTGTATTATTATTTGGCGCGCTTTTCATTCAGTATTAGGTAACTAATGTCATTTTAAAACGTTTCTTTGTATATAATAAACAGAAAATTTGTTTAGTTTAGTGTAAGATCGAAATATATTTCACCTTGTGAACACCAAAAGTTCATATTTCACTCGTGGCTGCGCCACTCGTGAAATATACTTTTTGGTGCTCACTCGGTGAAATATATTCCAATCTTACACTGAACTAAACAAATATCCTCTATAAAATATTTTTGCAAATGTTAAAACATATGTATACAATACTTTATTTGTAGTATACAAACATTAATATTATGCCTTAAATTATGCAAGCTTTCAAATAGAGCTACAGTAGAACCACCTACCCCATATGCAGTTGCCCTACTCCCTAGTCCTGAGCAGTAAAGTGCATCCATAGCTTGCATTGAACATGCCTCAACCTAGTTTTTCAGCTCCCTGTTTTTAACATTATAAATTTTTTATCCTCCTTTTAAACAACTCTTTTTATTTTTTTTTTGCGATTTTGAAGCGCGGTCGACATATCTACATACGTCCCCGCGAGGGAATTGTCTTAATTTCAACAACAAAATGAACGTAAATTTACAGTACCGTTCAGTATATATATCGATAGATACTTTTATTTCCTGCAGAATTTCAAAAGGGCATGAACATAATTATATACAAGCTATATTACAAACATATATATATGCAATATCAGAAAAAAGCAGATATATGGGAAAAAAACAGATACATTACATATAACATGGAAAATTGCTAAATATTTTCTTTTTTCAGTGCATTTAAAATATCACTTGTATACAGAAACCTTTACTCGAAATCGAAATATCAAGATTCCTACAAAAAAAGTTAACAAAGACATGTCTAGGTATATATGACGAAATCTCATCCAAAGTCTTGAAAGGAAATTAGGGAATATCAATGACAATAGATTATAATATTCACTAATGACGATAAATGTAGAACTAAACTTTACGCTGTATGTTTATCATATTCAGTGCTAAATGGCTTGACTTAAATCAGATCCACTTAAGTCTACCATTTAATCACCTTATACAATCACTTTGAAACTGAATAATTTATCAACATTTGAACGTCATTTTCTGTATATAGCAATCTGGTCTAAAGGTCCTAATGCAAGTAAGGCAATACATGCACACATGTTTCTATTCCGAAAGTATCTAAAACCGATCATAACAGAACATATTCATGTCATTCACCGCACAAAAACACGTACGTTAGGTGGATGATAATATTATCACAAAATAACTAACACTTATTGCATTTGCGACAAAAGGTGGAGCAAGAAAATAAATCATATGAGCTATTGTCACCATCAAGAAAGAGCATACGTATCCAATCTTTAAGTTATTTCCTGAAATTGACCATAATAACGCCGGCTTATTACAACTTATGGTATCACTTATTTCTGGTCGTGTTGAAATTAATCTATCAACTCGTTCTGTGCTTGCTTTTGTCCCAACAACATTAATTCTGAAGTGTCAATTTCCAAGAATATGTGGACTGAAAAAGTCCAGATCTAATGTATGAGTTTAATATAATTAATGTTCTCCCCCCCCCCCCCCCCCCCGACCGTATTTGTTCAATAATCTGAATATCGATATGAATCCTGTGCTCTGTTTGTCAACATAAAAATAGCGCACCAGTCTTTGAACAAATACATTCTTTGCCAGGTATTGTCCCGGTAAACGACACAACTGTCCAAAGAATTGTAATTTCCGGTAGTCTATAATAGTCTAAGCAAAGTCCGTCACGCTATTGCTACGCAACTTTTGCATGTTCTTTACACAAATATACTACGAGATAGACATGTTTCTAATTTCCGTATTTCTGTGCCATAATTTGCAGCCGTATAAGGCTTTTGGTATCACAATTGAGAAATTGATACTTCGGGTTGTTATCGGATTAAGACTATTGGATTAAGACGCTGAGTGTGAATGCCACTATTAATAATTAATGATAAAAGGGTTCCTCTCAATTTATTACCTGCTTCGGTTGTCACATGCAAGATCTAAATGAGTGTATAATTCTGTCTCTCTTATGATTTCTTTAACGAGTATTTAAAACGTCCAAGTTGTGGTTGAGTCCGATGATACCTTTTCATTAAACACAGTACTTAATTCCACACTTATCAGTACCTTCACTGCCGGGAATAAGTATTGCAAATGTAAAGTAATTTATCCATGCCTGAATTCGAAAAGGAGACAAGGACCATAGATCATCAGCAACAGTAGGGGAGCAAATATTCATATTTTATAGATCTACATAAAAATCTATATTTTGAGCCTATTTTACTGTTTCATATTTCAACATCTATAATTATAGACGTTGAAATATGATTTTTTTTTTCAAAACAGCTTAGATCTATATTAAGTTTTAATGATATAATTATGTAGATCTATATGAGAAGTACATATGCTCCGTTGAGCTCCACACCCAAGTGTCTGTGCAATGCAGTAGGCCTATAAGGGCAGGCTATCATTGTAGAGTGGTTATACCTAACTTGTAAACTAATTGCACAGATACTGGTTATTTTTTTCTCACTTCATGATCCTTAGATTTAATACGAATCAAAATTTATTTTCTTTGATCGTTGATCTCATTATTGTTGTGATTTATCATGTTATTAGAAATAGAAGTCTACATGACCTTTGGTTTGTCAATTAAATCACGGATTTAAATAAATATTAAATCCGTGATTACATATCTTAATTGCATAATTACATTAATTTAAATAATATAAAATATGGTTTGAAATAAAAGTTATTCTATTCTATTGTTTCATTTTGATCAGCAGTGATAAAATTAGAGCATGAAACGGTTGTCCTTGTTTCAAATATCCCGCGTGATTGAACATTCGCAAACGCTTTATGAAATCGTTCAGACTCACCCGGATGTACGCGCCATGTGAATTCAAAATGGACGACAATCCGGCGATTGTAAAATTTGTGTCGCAAAAAATTTCAAAAATTCGATGGAAACCAAATCAAAGTCAGTACTCACAAGAGACAGATGTTTTTGCAACTGGAAGTTGGGACGATGAGGTAACGTCTAGTTCAATGTACCCTTCCTCTTCTAAAGTAGAATACTTCATTATTTTGTCTTCACACAGCTGCACAGTCCTTACTTTCGTTTTTATCAAAGGCTTTATCAAATTGTAGATCTATGTGTTTACCGATAAGATAAAAATTCATAGGCCTACTGAATGTTAAATGATTAGGTTTGTTTACCGTAATCTATTTTGGCTTAGTAGTTTTCATTCGGTACAAGTCAACCTAGTCCTAATTATAAGACCTATACGTAACCTATTTCATATTTATCATTCATTATTCTGATATTTTACATTTTTCATTTTCCATGTTACGTTAGGTCTTAACAGATCTTTGCAAAACCGTGTAGCAAAAAAAAATGACATTAGACATCGATTTAGATCTAATGCATTTTAACAATTAAAACAGCGTGTATTTACATAAATTTTGAACTATTTATGAACAAAACTAAAAATTAAATACCTTTCAACAAAATAATTGAACTGTCACACCCGAAAAGTCATGATTAAATCCTCTCATTTAATTAAATTCCATGTACAGCAGATATACAAATGGCCGCCATATTACAGTGCGCGAAATCTGATTGGCTAATTCAAATGCAAGCGTTTAAATGACTCCAGAAGTTTCTAACGGAATATTTTTTCAACGAAATAATTGCCCATGCACCGTCAGTATGTTCGAAAATATTTTTCCGTTCAAAAAATTGGAATCAATCTGTAAAACGCTTTACTTAACCAGTATGGCCGATGAGCGAAATAGATTGATATTTATATTTTATTTTTAATTAATAAGTACATTGTTTGAAACTTTTTGTTAATGATAGACCATGCAATTGAAAGAACAGAAGATAAGCTTTTGAATAAAGCTTGAAAGGCAAGTCAACAGACATTTTTTTAATTTTTCAAAATGCTACGCGTTTTTGAGCAATAACTATTAGACGTCAGGCTTGACCAACATAAAACTATAACAAGCCTGTAACGTCTAATCTATTGGACTAAAGTCAACCCGGCCCCAAAATTGGTCAATCCGGCCCCACGGTAATTTTATTTGGTCAACCCGGCCCCAAAATTGGTCAGTGCGGCCCCAAAATTGGTCATTCCGGCCCCAAAATATATATTTTTCAAAGAAAACTTTTTAAGTCATTTTGTTGTATGATGGAATAAAAATAATTTATTATTAATTGAAGATTATTAGCATTAGAACAATAGTAACCAAAAGTGTCGGTAAATTTAATTGCGCCGATTACGTCTTTTATACGCAATATTGATGAATTATTATATAACATCAACAATTATATGTACATCAACATTAATTCAGATGTGATAATCAAACAGTTTAAAGCAATCAATTAACAAAAAAGGTATAGCTGTGAAAACAAATCCTTTTAATAAGTTGGTAGTATCTTTCATGTCTTTATTCTATGTAAATTAAAGATGGTTTCGTGAGTGTTAATGCGATAATTAGGAAGAAATGCATAGAATTTCGAGTAGTATAAATATAGTTTCCAACAATATGTTTTCAATTCATTTGAATGTTTTTATTGAATACGTTCATTATTATAATTAATATTTGTTTCGTTTTTTATTAACTTATTTTCAAAGAATATTTACTGTGTAAAAAGGTATTGGAATATTACTAAGTGTTTGGAAAATTGATAGTGTTTTGTGTTTAATCACTTTATGTCATTATGACTGATAACTGTATTGATTGTGGATATATTGTGCGTGACAGACAGGAAGCAGTCGCCTAAACACATGTGCAGGTGTCTCTCCTCCTTTCTACACTTTGGTGAGATTACTGCACTTGAGGTTGAGGCCCAGATACGCCTAGTATCGGAGATGAAGCTACGAAGACTGCAGAGAGCAACGTACCGCTCATTGCAGTCGAAAATCTTCAGTGCCTGGGATAGGTAATACTTATTTTTTGTATGAGATAATACGACAATTTCATTTCTGAATTTAATAAAAATGGTAATTTGAAGGTTCGAACAATAATTAAAGAAATTAACTTGAGTCATGTACCATTTTTTTGCTAATATTTGAAAGAAACATTAATAATTTATCGTTTAGTACCAATTAAAACTAGTTACACTGACAGTGATTTTTTTCACTGTATTTTACAGCCGAATAAAGGCTGTTTCCCCTACCCAAAAATAGGTATATTTTCCCCTAAAAATGCAAATATTTTCCCCTAAAATGCCTCGTGCTCTTTTTTACCAGAACCATGACTTTATAGCATCTGATATCAGCTAGAAGACAGAAATCTGTCCCTATAGATAGCCTTTGCTATGTACCATGCATGTTAAATTGAATTAAATTTATTTTTTTTCATAAAATGTGTGGGTAATCCCATTTTTAGTTGTTGGAATTTGATTTCAGGTTTCCCCTTTTTCTGATTTATCGCACTATATTTTCCCCTTCAGAAAGCCACAGGTTGTTTTAAAAATTGGAAAAAAAATCACTGACTGATAACTATCTATAACTTTTTGTTTTGTTTTCACAGATATCGATCGAAAGAGCTATCCGCAACCGCCCTGTTGAAGCTTGTGTCGACCATGTACAGGCCGATACTAGGTAGACGCGAGACAGAGGAAGACGACGAGTGATGTGAAGTGTTTATATGTGATGAACATTGTAGGGGTGTGTCAGGAACATTGTTGAACTATATAATATACAAGTTGCTTGTTTGTTGATATTGATAGTTGATATTGATAGTTTTTATATAAAATAAATAATAAAAGATATCATCATTGAACTTTTGTTTTTGTTGTTAATTTTTATCTTATTTCTTGATAAGTGTTTACATTTTAAAGCAAAATAAATAATAAAAAAATGGGGCCGGGTTGACCAGAAATAAAATTGGTTTGGGGCCGGGTTGACCAATTTGGGGCCGGGCTGACTTGGGGCCGGGTTGACTTGGGGCCGGGTTAACTGTAATTCGTTTTCATTTTATATATAGATCTAAGTCAATGATAATCAAGAAGATCTAGATCTTATCTACATAGTACATTTCTAATAGCCTATGAACGGGGAAGTTGGTTAAAAAACCTTTTATTTTTCCGTTTTAATGAAACCATTCAGTATTTCATGGACGATTCTGTTTTCACCCGCACAGTCAATGATTATTATTAATCTGAAAAGTTATGATTCAGTGTTTTTTTTTCACTTTTGGGGGAAGGGGGTCGGTGCCCTTTGGAGGGGGAATTTTGTTTATATATTTTACATTGTTTTCTTTCTGGTAGAAAAGGGGAGGAACTCTTGCAACAAAAGTTTAAAATACGTCGCGTTTTCTTAATATGCGGATCTAAAATATCGATGCGTCGCATGTTAAACTTGTTGGGACGCCGGGAGTAGCTCCCCTTACCTACCTGAGAACGATTTGTAAACAACCTTGCTTAACAGTTTGTGTTACAGGCATAACATAAAAGATTTTTCGGCAGTTAGTTACAAAAATAAAAATGATATTCATTGCAGGCAAATTCGGGCTGCCATATAGGGGGAATTTCGGCTTTAAGAGGGGAAAAAAACATAGTATTTTGAGGGGGGAATGGGGCCGAATTTTATTTTGAGGGGGGAATTGGGCCGAATTTTGCCGAATATTTTGGTGAAAAAAAAAACACTGCGAATGTCTTCGGAATATTATTATCATTTCATTGAGTTACTTTGAATGTAGTGGCGCCAAACTAGAACTGACACTGAAAATTTCATTGATAGGTATAAAATTCTTTATAATTTTTAATTGTTTTTATTTGATTTCCTGTTAAGTATACAGTCTATAGTATAGCCAGGCAAGCAAAAGCCCAGACCAGCTTCTCGGTCCAGGCCTTTGACTTCCCCATAATAATTTCTTTCTAGGTTGAATTAGATTTTACACTGCAGAGATTTTTCTACTTATTAACAGACTCCGAAAAAAGGCCTCTTTTCAATTGAAATTTTCTTTAAAATCATGCAGTTTTCCCAAAAATCTTAACTTAAACCAGCTTTTTAACTTCCCAAATCAGCAATTTTAGCGATAATTTTTCCCAAAATCAAGAGGCTAAGGCCTCTTCCCAAGAAAGTGAGAAAAATCACTACACTGTTCAGTGTTTTTTCCCCCTGCTTTGGGAATGGTGCCGGTACCGGACAGATTGGGAAAAAATCCATTGATTTGACTCAAATTGGGAATTTTACATAAGATGCAAAATATTCATTGGGAATTTCTTTTATCCAGGGAGACATGAAAATGATGCATAATGTACACTTTAAAACCATGTATTATTAACTTTAATGATTATTTTTGCTACTTGATGAAAAAATTGATAGTCATAACAATTGTACATAAATAATGTTTAGGTGTGAAACAATAAAAATAAGAAATGAACTAGGTATGAATATCACTCATGTGGTTATCGTACATCACACTAGTCGTAATGCACATTACTGTTTTTGTTTACCTTTAAAAAGGCCGATTTTTGAGGAAATTTTCAGTGTTACATTGTATTTTGGGAATTTATCAGTTATGAATTTGCTGTCTATTTTCTATTGGGAATGGTGCCGTTTTCTGGTATCAGTTATATAAGGAAAAAAAAACACTGCTGTTGCATCTAGAATTTCAATATTATGGCAGATTGTCCCCCATAAAACTAAAAATGTGGGGGATTTGAAAATAATGTGGGGGACATGCATTTACGGTTTTATTAAGCGGATCAGCACTTTCAACTTGTTTAGAGGTGGATGATTCATTTTCACCTGTCCAGTATCTATATCAGATGTTCCTATCTATCTTCCATTAATGTCAAACGGGGACGTAGACATGTATGCGCATCAATAATCGCAAGAAAGTTAAAAAAGAGTTGTTTAAAAAGAGGATAAAAGAATATTTAAAAATGTTAAAAACAGGGGCTGGAAAACTAGGGTGAGACAATTGTTCATTGCAAGCTATAGCTGCTCTGGGGTAGGGAGTAGGTCAACTGCAGGGGGTATGTGGTTAAAGTGGTATACAGTTCTAGGAAAGAATGAGAATTTATAATAGTCTGAGGTTGCTGTGAATAACCTATAATATAAGGGTTGGCCATGGCGTGATATTCTGGACAGGTGCAGTCTTTCCGAAAGACCGTCGGCCCTGACCAGTAAAAAATCAGAAGGTCCGATAAAAGTATATGTATTGATGGCCCGACGGTCCGGTAAAAAATTAAGGTTTTAAAAAAACCTTACATTCAACATTTTGCAAAGGCCGATCATTCACCTATATTCAAAACATATCAAAATGTTGTCATTACACAATATAAGCTTGTGCAATGCTTGTCAACTGTTATGCATTCTCAAAATGCAAACTTTTATGTAACAACGTAAGATAAAAATATCCGACAACTAGTACAATTAAAAGTCAATAAGCGGCCGCTTAAATTTCATAAGCGGCCCAGATGTGAAAGGTCACCCGCTATTAGTTTGTTTACCAAAATTTGTGACATAGATGAAAGTGTCAGTGTATTAATTGGAACAATTTACGTCTTTAATCCACAGACTTAGAGCAATGCTAATTACACTTGTGCTCAACTGGTGTTTAGCGGTGACTTAAGGATACAGTGATTTTCCTACTTATATAACAGACTCCGAAAAAAGGCCTCTTCCCAATTGAAATTTTCTTTAAAATCATGCAGTTTTCCCAAAAATCTGAACTTAAACCAGCTTTTTTACTTCCCAAATCAGCAATTGTAGCGATAATTTTCCCCAAAATCAAGAGGCTCAGGCCTCTTCCAGGGCTCCAGATAAGATGCGTATACGCGTAAATTACGCATGGAAATAACATGTTTACGCATTCAAAACAAAATTTAAGCGTATGAAAACGCACACAAAATTCAGGTTACGCATTGAGCAACATTTCTTTTGCGTAAACGTAACCGAAAGTAAACTCGGTGATTATTTCGTCTGAACGCTTTGCAAGCGTCTACCGGTAACTTCCTGTAGTTCCGACCATTATCGGTTGTTATCGTATGTATAGTATGGTGGTGGAATCAACTTCGTAACTATGAATGCTTTGCAACGTCTAACGGTAACTTCCTGTAGTTCCGACTATCATCGGTAATTATCGTATGTATAGTAAGGTGGTGGAATTAACACAATTTCATAAACAATCCGGTACAATGTCGCTGTCAAATTGACTCGTATTTTAAGCCGAAAAAAAATCGACAGGAAAGTAATTGTGAAGGTTATAATTAATGAAATAGTTAGCGCTGCCACGTATGAGCAACAAAAACATTCCTCAGGTTCAGATAAAACGTATGCTGTTTGGAAATGCAAGATTATAAGAAATGACTTTGACATATCTTTTATTACGTATAATAATACAATAAACATGGAAGCATATTAAATGTTTTACTCTTTTACAAACATTTTAAGGAGTAAAAATACTCCTGCCAAATTTCAGATTTCAAGTTTTACTCATTCACAAAAAAATCAATGAGTAAATACTCAATGCCCTAAAAAATTATCTGGAGCCCTGCTCTTCCCAATTAAGTGAGAAAAATCACTGGGATATGAAAGATCCTCCGTGATGTTGACAAAAATTAAACTATACTGTGAAGGTGCCAAAATCATTGAACAATTAATCTGTCGACTTCACTAAATTACCGATATATATAATTCTGTTTACATACATATGCCAATCTTTTGCTGAAATGTACCCTCTCATTTTGCTAGTATATAGCAGTCTTCACGAAAAACTTTTAAAGGCACAGGACATTCGGGCCATTAAAATTTCAAATCTTACTGGACCTGGTGATTTTTAACCAGACCAAATGCATAGATAGGTAATAAATTGATGGCTAAAGGGAAACACTTTATCATGCTTCCCTTGATAACTTTGAAAGAAGCATAATACTTCTTGTATTCTGGGCCATATGTTGACAGCTTTGAAAAATCTATAAGGACCAAATGTTTAGACAAAACTGTCTAGAATTGAACATGAACAACACAATTTGCTTCAAACAAATCACTTTCACACAAAATATTTACTTAACTCAATAATCACAAAATCATAGCTAAATAATGACCATAATAAACAATGGTATAATTTCTGTAACAATACTGTGCAGTACGGAAAATATCCAAGAAAAAGAAATGGCGGCCTCCATAACTCAATACAATTTATACATCTCTTCCTGTGTTTTGAACATTTAGGACAGAATTGATGGTTACATTTGCAAAAAAGGCAAAAAGATAAATCTTTTAGAGACCCTGCTTCATTATTTTGATGAATTTTTCTTATAATATTTTTTCATGGCCAAAAATCTACTGGCCCATCGGACCACCAACCTTGCAATAATCACCGGACCGATGCTAAATTTAGTGGCCTCGGACTGGGGTTAATTTCGAAGACTGATATAGTCTGTATGGAATTAAAGTTTAAATTGCAAAATCCATTGAATACATGTATAACAATATTTGTGTTTACATTTTGATTGTGGTGAAAAAAGTTAACTTCACATAGTTCTTCGTTGATAATATAATTTTCTTTATGTACACACATTTTTTGACTTCTGACAAGTGACTCAAAATGTTATACCAATCAGGTTTTTTTTTTCGGTCCAGTAAAATCATGTTTGGTCCAGTAAAAATTTTCAGTTTACAGGACCTACTGTCCAGTAAAACTCAGAAGTCTTTCGCATAGACTGCAGGTGTGCCAAATATTCTTCTATACTAGGGATTGCAACCAGACCATGGTGAATCTTATAGAGAAGGGATAGCCTAGTATCTATACGTCTGAGTTCAAGTTTTTGAAGGTTAAGGCAGTGAAGCATCTCCGTGACGCTAGAGGTCTGACCATAGACTAGCTTAATCCATCAGGCTGCTTTTCTTTGGACATTTTTGATTTGATCTATTTGAGTTTTGGTGTGGGGAGACCATACTTCGGAACCATATTCAAGCTGGGGTCTGACTAACGTCTGATATATTCTAGGGCTGTGCATTGCCATTTTTGTGTCGCCTTGAAAAGGTGACATATAGGGATTACTTTTGTCGGCGGCGGCGGTGTCGGCGGCCCCTAAAGCTTGTCCGGAGCATAACTCAGTCACTTTAAGTCTGATTGACTTCAAACTTGGTATGCAAGCTTCTTTCAATAACCCGAAGTGCAGTGCACAAGGACCAGTACTCTGCACTTCTTAATTTTTGAGTTATTGCCCTTTGTTAATTTTCATACTTTAATTTTGTCCGGGCCATTTCTCTTCAACTATTAAGCGAGAAAAATCACTGAGACTTTCTTTTTGAGTCTGTAATTGTTATGTATCTGATTGGAATTCTTTACACTCCTAATGTTGATAAACAGATTTTATTTTTAAAACATTGCATGTTAATCGGCATAAGCAATAAAAAATTATTTTGTATTTTGCAGGATGGTAAAGTATGTTTATGGAATCTGCTATCTGCAGAGCAGAGGGACATAGATATGGATGATGGAAGTTATGATCCAGCAATGAGGGAACCAAGTTTACTTTGTGAGATACAACATACAGGTGACGTAACAGACCTCGAGGTATGATTTCTTTACATACGTTTTATAACTCTCTGTTTTAATAAGCTACTTTCCACTTTAAATAAAAGCTGTTTGTTTTTATGCCCCTGAATCAGCAGATGTGGACTTATTTTTGTCTTGTCTCAGTTGTCTCTCACTGGACTGGCTGTGGACATCTATAACTTTGGTCATTAGATCGTCCGTGTAGCTTTATGTTAAAATATACAGTCTTCATTCTTCGCCATACACATTTAGATAACAGCTTCTTTTGATAATTTATTGAATGATTTGTAAAAATCTTATGTAAGGGGTATGAAACAATCAGGGTTTTATTAGCTAGTTTGATTAGAAGAAAAAGCTATTATGATCGCTGCAGCTGTCATGAATGCAAAAACTTAAATACATTATGCAGCCCATTCAAACATTTTAAAAGTTACCAACATGAAAATTTGAATACTTGGCTTGCTAATCATGACAAGGTGCAGTTGTTAGACAAAAGACAATGACATAATTTCAAAAAGCAATATTTTTTAAGGTATGCTAGAATTTTTTACAGATGAGCGTAAACAACAAATGCTGTGGTTATGATTTTGAACAAAAATGACTTCTAAATATTAAGTGCATTTTTTTTGTTTGGTTTTTAAGAGATCTTAAGTTTACTGAATAGTGACTGAAGGATGTAAACCTGAATATTTGATTATAAAAGAACTGTAGAAAAATATGTAAATTTGAATTACTTAAAAGTGTAAGAGATTTGGGTGAGAAATATTTTGAAACAGGTGAGAAAAAAATGACAAGAAAATAAACCCACACAAGACATTAGTGGTTGTGGTTATTCACAGAATTGCTGTTACCCTGTGGGTTTGAATTTGAGCAATGATAAAGCATTATTTTGTGTGATTACATTGAAGTGTTACAAAGCTTATATGCATATGGTTGTTCCTGGCTGAAACCAATCCGTGCTTTACATTAGTTATACTAGTATATCAGAATAGTATAACCTTTCAATGCTTTGTAATGATGGTGTGACTCAAAGCTGCATGTTTTCATATTAGTTTGATGTTTTCATATTAGTTTGAGGGCTCAGACTGAAGACATTGTAACTTGTATGGCATTAATGAAGTACAGTAACAAGTGTCAAGTTTTTGTAACAGGGAACAATTTCTGAAGAAAGAATTTGTATTTTGATGTTTATGAATTTATGTATTAAAAGTTTAAGAAAAACACTTCCTATGTTTTTATTTAAAAAATGCTTGAATTTGGAGATATGCTGCTTTAAATTCAAGTAAAACAAAAGTAATCTTACAGCAGTACTTAATATACTGTATGATTTCACTTTGATTTCCTTTTAGGTATTTTCTAAATAATTGAAGTCAGTTGGGTTTTTTTTGTTTTTCAGTTCATAAGTGCAGACCATATTGTGTCCTCCTCCTCAACTGGAACTGTTACTTTATACAAACACCACTTACAATCTCAGGTATTTCCTATAAATAATTATAATGTGACACCACAAATATAGCAAATTCATTTGACATTTAAAGTACAGATTTACTTTGGAGACCAATTTATTATGCTCATCATTAGGAAATTCATATGATAAGAAATTTTAACAACTAAAAGTACAACTATTGTAAGTTCTGGCTAGCAAACTGGCAAATGTTAAATAGATAAATGATCTTTAAAAGGATTTTATAGAGTTGAGTCAATAGAAATGTGCCATTTGAAATATTTTTTGAAAACTAAATAGTGAGAGTTCAAGGTGATTTAAGTCAAACATTTATAAATGTGATGAGTGCTATTATTAGTCCCCTACCGGTTTAACCGGAGGGAGGGGACTTTAGGTTTACCCTCCGTCGGTCTGTCTGTCTGTCAGTCAGTCCGTCCGTCCACAAAACTGGATCCCGCGATAACGCAAAAAGTACTGAAAATATTTTTATGAAACATGATATATGGATAGATGGCAGTATGGAGATTATGCACGTCATTTTCTTTTCTTCCTATGTTGAAAATTCTGGTTGCTATGGCAACAAATAGTCTCTGAAAATATGGCAAATTTAACACATAAACTGGATCCAGTGATAACTCAAAAAGTACTGAAAATATTTTTATGAAACTTGAAATATGGGTAGATGGCAGTCTGCAGATTATGCACATCTTTTTCTTTTCTTCCTATGTTGAAAATTCTGGTTGCTATGGCAACAAATAGCCTGAATTTCAAGATTTCTTATTTAAATTTTTCAGCTTTTTCACTATAAGTTCTTTATTTCTTATGGTGTTTACTTCTAACTTTAAATATAAGTTTCTGGTCATCAACCACATCGTATGTGACAAGGTTTACAACTCTAGCACAAAAATTATCAGTATTACCTCCCTTGAACTTAGAATTTTTATGAAAAAAAAATGTTGTCTTTTTAGCTCATCTGTCACAAAGTGACAGGGTGAGCTTTTGTGATCGCTTTTCGTCCGGCGTCCGTCCGGCGTCCGTCCTTCCGTAAACTTTTGCTTTATATGACATCTCCTCATAAACCACTGAGCCAATTTCATCCAAACTTCACAGGAATGTTCCTTTGGTGGTCACCTTTGAAAATTGTTCAAAGAATTTAATTCCATGCAGAACTCTGGTTGCCATGGCAACCAAAAGAAATTTTTTTAAATATCTTCTTTTAAACAACCATAAGAGCTAGAGCTTAGATATTTGGCATGAAACATCTTCTAGTGAGTGTCTACCAAGTTTGTTCAAATAAAAGCCCTGGGGTCAAAATTGGCCCCGCCCCAGGGGGTCATTGATTTTCCCTATATGCATATAGTAAAAACTAAAAAAAATCTTCTTTTAAACATCTTCTCGTGAGTGTCTACTAAGTTTGTTCAAATAAAAGCCCTGGGGTCAAAATTGGCCCCGCCCCAGGGGGTCATAGATTTTCCCTATATGCATATAGTAAAAACTTAAAAAATCTTCTTTTAAAGAACCCAAAGAGCTAGAGCTAAGATATTTGGCATGAAACATCTTCTAGTGAGTGTCTACCAAGTTTGTTCAAATAAAAGCCCTGGGGTTAAAATTGGCCCCGCCCCAGGGTGTCATTGATTTTCCCTATATGCATATAGTAAAAACTTAAAAAATCTTCTTTTAAAGAACCCAAAGAACTAGAGCTAAGATATTTAGCATAAAACATGTTCTAATTGGTGTCTACCAAATTTGTTCAAATAAAAGCCCTGGGGTCAAAATTGGCCCCGCCCCGGGGGTCATTGATTTTCCTTTTATGTGTATAGCAAAAACTTAAAAATCTTCTTTGAAAAAACCCATTTAGCTAGAGTTTAGATATGAAGCATGAAACATCTTCTAATCAGTGTCTACAAAGTTTGTTCAAATAAAAGCCATGGGGTCAAAATTGGCCCTGCCCCGGGGGTCATTGATTTTCCTTTTTTGTGTATAGCAAAAACTTAAAAATCTTCTTTGAAAAAACCCAAATAGCTAGAGTTAAGATATTAAGCATGAAACATCTTTTAGTAAATATCTACAAAGTTTGTTCAAATAAAAGCCCGGGGGTCAAAACTGGCCCTGTCCCAGGGATGTCATTGTTTTTAACTATATGTGTATAGTAAAAACTTAAAAAATCTTCTTTTAAAAAACCCAATGAGCTAGAACTTAGATGTTTAGCATGAAACATCTTCTTATGGAGGTCTACCAAATCTGTTCAAATAAAAGCCCTTGGGTAAAAAATTAATTGGCCGGGGGGGGGGCTATATACAGGTGAGCGACCTCAGGGCCATCATGGCCCTCTTGTTTAAATAACTTCTTCTTTTTCCTAATGTATCTACTTGAAACTTTATATATATGTTTCTTATTATCACTCAACACTTTTGAAAAGGTTAAATACTCTAGCAAGACTATTTTCAGAATTATGTCCCCCTTAAACTTTAGATTTTTTTCGAGAAATTGGTATTTTTTACTCCAACTTCTTCATTCCTTATAGGATTTACTTTAAAATCCTACATCGTAATAATATGACAAGGTTGTATAAACATAATTTCCTTACTAGGCAGGGAAACTTAACACATTACTGTGAAATAGACATTCATTCACTTGTAAAATTGAAATCAGAATGTTGCTGGGGTTCTTACCAGTAGGGGACTTATGGATTGCTTGCAATACTATGATAATTGCTTGTTTTGTTCTGAAACATTTTTATCTGCTATAATATGTTCTTATTATAGACTTGTCTATCTGATCATGTATCTCACACTTGTCAACAACATTTTTCTTATCTAATGTAAGACTAATGGGATAATGATACTAAAGTCCATCAGCATAGTTATTATTACTGAATGGCTTTACATACCTGCTACTATAGATTAATTTACTTTAAAAATGGGCAAACAATTGTTTTCCACAAGGTATATAATCATGTTTTATTATGCCCCCGCCATGTAATGGCCGGGGCATATAGTGTTACCCTGTTCCGTCATTCTGTCCTTCGGTCATTCTGTCATTCCGTTATCATCAGTTTCCGTTCATTATCTTAAGAACGGTTGCACACATTCAACTCAAATTTGACATGGATATGGCATGAGAAAATACAGGTCAAGTTCGAATTTGGTCATGGTTCGATGATTTTTGGCAGAGTTATGCCCCTTTTACTTTGAAAATAATATGAAATTTCAGTTTCAGTTCATTATCTCCCCAACGGTACAACACATTCAACTCAAACTTGACATATGGATATGTCATGAGAAAATACAGGTCAAGTACGAATTTGGCCATGGTTTGATGATTTTTGGCAGAGTTATGCCCCTTTTACTTTGAAAATAATATGAAATTTTCAGTTTCCGTTCATTATCTCCCTAACGGTACAACACATTCAACTCAAACTTGACATATGGATATGTCATGAAAAAATACAGGTCAAGTTCGAATTTGGTCATGGTTCGATGATTTTTGGCAGAGTTATGCCCCTTTTACTTTGAAAATAATATGAAATTTTCAGTTTCCGTTCATTATCTCCCCAACAGTACAACACATTCAACTCAAACTTGACATATGGATATGTCATGAAAAAAATACAGGTCAAGTTTGATTTTGGTCATGGTTCGATGATTTTTGGCAGAGTTATGCCCCTTTCACTTTGAAAGTAATATGAAATTTTCAGTTTCCGTTTATTATCTCCCCAATGGTACAACACATTCAACTCAAATTTGACATATGGATATGTTTTTGGAATGCCCAGGCCAAGTTTGAATTTGGTCATGGTTCAATGATTTTTGGCAGAGTAATGCCCCTTTCACTTTGAAAATAATATATGAAATTTACAGTTTCTGTTCATCATCTACCCAACAGTGTTACATATTCAACTTAAATTTGACATGGATATGTCAATGGAATGGGCAGGTCAAGTTGGAATTTGGTCATGGTTTGATGTTTTTTTGGCAGAGTTATGTCCCTTTCACTTTGAAAATAATATAGATACATCTTAGGAATAAGCAGTTTAAGTTTGAATTTGGTCGTGGTTCAATGATTTTAGACAAACTTATCTTTCCTGAATGTTGGAAAAATTTTGAACTTTCAGTTTCAGCACTCATACTTTTAGCCATAATTTTGGCTACAAATATGCAATATGCTATTTTTAAAAGGTTAAGACTGAATAATTTCAGTGCCTTGAACATTGTATGAAAATGGTTTGTGTTAACATTGAAAAGTTTTAAGGGCTTTGAACTTAAAATGAAAAAAATTATTAATGCACCATCTGAAATTTTGGCTGCATGCGGGGGCATCCGTGGCATGATGACACATTTCTAGTTTTTCTAATATCTTTTATTGGATAGCATGCTTAATTTTCCTATTTCAAAAGTATAGATTGTTCTGAAAAGTTGCAACAAAAAAAAATAGATGTATTTAATTTCAGACACTTGGTGATTCAGTAAGTTGGAAAGAGATTCACAAGGATGCAGGAGGTAAAGGTTGTCCATGTACTTGTCTAACAACACAAAGAGATGATATGATTGTTACAGCAGGAGAAGATGGTTGTATAAATGTGCTCAATGTTGCTCACAGAAAACCTGTTAGAACCATTGGTATTTTAGTTTTTGTTCTTTAGTTTTTGAATCTATTTTTTTCTTAGAAAAAAAGCAGAACTATTGTCATTTGTCTGTCATTGGAGTTAGTCAGCTTTTTTGGTTAAGCTTTCATTTATGTTCATAAACTTCAATACTTACAATGCTGTTGCAGTAAACTTAATATAAGTATGCACCTTCATGATTTCTACCTGTCAAAATTATTTTCAGGTTAAAGATAAAGGTCACTGAGACCTGTAATAGCAAAATATTAAATTGATCAATTAATCAAAGTACATCAACATGGTAATTTAAACTTGTAGATGCACCTTGATAAGTCCTCCTTGGACAGCTTTTGTTTTACTTGCAAGTAATATTCCTGTAATGTAAAAATATATTTTTTCTACTTTTCTCTATAGATAAAGCAAACAGCTGTACCATTAATGGGATAACATTTTTAAAACAGCAAGAAGTGATAACTGTAGATTCAAGTGGACAGCTGAAAGTTTTCGACCTAGGACATAGGTCATGTGACCCGGTTAAAACTTTTGCTCTGTAAGTATATATGAGAATTCTCTTCATTTCTTAAGTAAATATAAATTATGTGTTATGATGACACTTGGTTTTTATGCCCCCACAATGTGGGAGCATATAGCGTTGCACTTGTCCGTCAGTCCGTACGTCCCAAAATCTTGTGAACGCAACTCCACTTAAACCGGATGGCAGATTTTGCTTAAACTTACAGGGATGAACAACCTTAATGTGTAGATGGTAGTAAAGGAAGGAATTTTTGCTGCGACCAAATTTAACAGAATAATGGCCCTTTGTTGATTTTTTCACTAGATACTATGTAGAAATTTTGTGAACGCAACTCCTCTTAAACCGGATGGCAGATTTTGCTTAAACTTACAGGGATGAACAACCTTAATGTGTAGATGGTAGTAAAGGAAGGAATTTTTGCTGCGACCAAATTTAACAGAATTATGGCCCTTTGTTGATTTTTTCACTATATACTCTGTAGAAATTTGTGAACGCAACTCCTCTTAAACCGGATGGCAGATTTTGCTTAAACTTACAGGGATGAACAACCTTAAGGTGTAGATGGTAGTAAAGGAAGGAATTTTCGCTGCGACCAAATTTAAGAGAATTATGGCCCTTTGTTGATTTTTTCACTATATTCTGTGTAGAAATTTTGTGAATGCAACTCCTCTTAAACCAGATGGCAGATTTTGCTTAAACTTCCAGGGAGAAACAACTTTATTGTGTAGTTGGCAGTAAAGGAAGGAAATTTTGCTGCGACCAAATTTAACAGAATTATGGCCCTTTGTTGATTTTTAGTTTTCAACTTGTGGCACATGTAGTCCAAAAAATATTTGACCTAGAGTCACAAGATTGACAGAACAGTGGTGTGTGGGGGCATCCGTGTCCTATGGACACATTTCTAGTTTGAGTTTGGAAGTCCCCTAGAAGACCTGCTAAATCAGTTGTATTGTTAAAATGATCTGTCAATGCCAATTAAAAAATTATGTTTACTGGTATGACATATATCCTTGTCATGTTAACTATAAATATGTGTTATGATGACACTTCGGTTATTGAGTTTGGAAGTCCCCTAGAAGACCTGCTAAATTACACATTTGGCCTGCTGATCTCAAACTTATTGAGAACCCTGTACATAGTTTACCCGTTACCAAAAAGTATAGAGCCGGGCCAGCCTCCACATCTGTTTTCATCTTGATATCCCTAAAATCAATAATGGGCTGTTCCAAAATGGAAGTTAGACATGTCCATTTTAGAAATTCAGTAATATAAGGTTTAAATAATGCATGTACAACATAGAAAGTAATCCTCCTTTCACACACACACACACAAATAATAAATTATGATAAAACCCAAGGTTGCATTTTATGGAAAGTCTTAAAAATGTCTTAAGACCAAAACTGAGACAATTTTTGTTTCAAAGAAACTGTCCAATCCTTATGACTCCTGAGTTGAGACTCTTCAGTTTCTTGACATTTACACATTTCCTATTAAAGCGACTGCCATTGTATTTTGTAACTTTTCACAGAGGAATGAATTAAATAAAAGACTAAAACTGTTACTACAGATGAAATATTTATTGAAAAGGTCTTAAGTTAGTCCTTTAGTTTGTCATAAGTCCTTGATCTTAGGATACACTTAGGCTTCTATGAAACACAGCCCAGGTCTATAGAAGCATTAGAAGGGATTTTAAAGTTTTTATTTGGAATAGTTATACATGTAGTGTAGATCCCCTTGTTGTTGAGGGGTTGCATACCATTGCCTTTAAGGGTTGAAGCATCAGAATTGCAGCTACAGATTATCCCCAAGTGATCCTAAGGGTTGACTAAATGGGTTCAAATTACTGGAGCCTGTGCATCTCTAAGCTCCAGCTGGTGAGATGGTTTTGACCCCTGGTGTTGCTTTTGGTTTATAACAACCGAGTTTAGCCAAAATCATCTTTACTGTTCTGGTGCCATATAAAGTAAATTGTTAAGTGTTCCATAAAACCAAATGAACAAACATATAGTGTATAATCAGACTGCAGATTGCAGAGTTTTAAACTAGATGCATAGGCATGTCATCTTTGTATTCATAGAGATATGGCCAAGGAATAATATTTGGTTTGATGCTTTGTAGATCTGGTGAACAAACACCTCTACAGTGTGTAGCTAGACATCCCACACAGCATCATATAGTGGCTACAGGAGCATATGATGGTGTACTGTCCGTGTGGGATTTACGACAAGAAAAATTCCCTGTCACTCCACTAGAAGCTCATTCTGCAGCAAGTAAGACATTTTTCCTAATTTTTAGTCACTTGATAATGATTACACAGGAAGGAACTATTGGTTAGTCCTAACACTGTCTGTTTGTCTGTCTTTATGTCTAAATATTTTAAAACCTTGTGGTGGAACTTTGTATATAGATGGCAATACAGAGATCAAGAAAAATATAACTTGGCACAAATGTTGACAATTGTGAGGCGGAGTGTCACATGCAAAAGTCAGGTTCTTGCGACCAGTCAAGGTTACAGATAGAGGTCAAAATTCAGATAAAAATATAAAGACATGTATAGTGGCCATTCAGTCATCATTTATTGATGGATAAGAACACAAATGGTAACTATCATGACCAAAGGTGTAACACATCTACATGTAATTTTAGTTAATATTTGCAAGGTCAAGGTTGCTAGAGATGGTTAAATATCCAGATTTTGTTCAGAGCATATCTCCTACATGCATGGAGCAATTTTAATGTTACTTTATAGAATTATTCACCTCCATGAGATGAAGTGCCCAGCTCATGAAACAGGTCTTTTAGGTCAAGGTTACACTTAGATCTCTGATAAACACTTGTCCGGAACAAAACTTTCCATGTTGCGAATAAAATTCAGGTTTCTGCAACCAAGGTTAAGGTCACACCTAGTGTAAATACAGTGTATTTCAGATTAAAATACAAAAGTATGTATAGGGACCAACTTGCTTGCCACACTTATTGCCAACATCTCCAAGCTTTGTGACGGGCGTATTTTGTGACAATGTCACCCTTGTTTGAATAATAAAATAAATATTACATCCCACCAATATGTCCATCCTTGTAAAGATAAAGTTACCTTGGCTAATTCTTTTATATGTCTGATGAACATTACGTTGTATAACCCTAAGTGAGATGTGATATTTGTATGTTGTCAGCCCTTGAATTTGTCCGGGGGGGGGGGGGGTAATTTGCCAAAGGCTGGTAGTAAATGAGTGTAGAGTCAATATTGAATGTGTTGAATAAAAACATTTTTCATTGACACTCCTATAGTGTAACCCTAACATTTAGCGTGACTTAACACTGCATAACGTAAATGACTTCACATCAAAATATATGCCTGGTCATGCAATACCGCTTTTATGGAGTTGCAAAAGCGTTTTATTATACTAAAACATTAGATATTGGCGGTGATAGAAGAAATATCTCCAAAGAGAGTATTATTCTGTCATACATTTTAAGTCTATGAAAGTTTTAACTTTGGAGGATATCTTTAGTTATGATGTATGGTAATATCATGTTTAAATATAGTGTAAACTGATATTATATGTTGCTTTATATTTTCCATCTTCACTTATTGTAATGTGATTTTACTGTTACAGAATAAAAATGTTATTTTTGATAATTTATACAGTATGGGAAGTGAAATTCCATCCAACTAATCCAGATCATCTGTTCACATGTTCAGAAGATGGTTCTGTCTGGCACTGGAATGCTTCATCCGTAGCATCATTAGTAACAGGAACTGGTAATGTTATATTTTCATTTCTTTGAAATATCCGTTGTATTGTTAAGATGATCTCTCAATGCCAATTTAAAAAGTAATGTTTACCAATATGTAATATATCCATGTCACTCATGTTATCTACAACAATAAAGTTTTTCTATTAAGACCATTTGGGGCCCCTGTAGAAGTGGTCTTATTATTGAGCCGGTCTTAATCTGCATTCATGGATGGTTTTGAACTTATAAAATATTTTGACTGAAGAAATAATAGATAAAGTAATAATATAATTATTATTTATGATAATCAGTTCCATATTGAGAGAGTGATTTTATTTATCAACTTCTTTCTTTACAGGAGCAGGCTCAGGGGGTGGTTCTTTATTCTCACAGGGTATGCCAGCGAGCGGTGCTGGTAATGTCAGCATTACAAGTCCTTGGCTCACACTCGAGTCTGGCCGTCAGAAACTGGACGTCAAATCAAAGCTTAATCTGACATTACCTATAAACACTGTAGACATTATATCAGAGGTGTTACTGTGTGGGTCGGATGAGGAAGCAGTTTATGCTGTGGATATACCTGGTATAAGATAGTGCTATAAATAGAAATGGTGCTATAGTAAAAATCTCCTAGTGTAATTTATACAAGTTGGAAAAAATACAAAAACTCTGAATGACTGCAGTGTATTGCATTAAGCAAAAATTGTTTGCAAACTGTATGACATGTTAAAACTGTATGCATGAGTTAGTTAACAGGTTTCGAAAAAGTACTTAACAGGTTTTGGAAACTATTATTTGTATCTATGAATATGTCACTAGAGACAAAAGTGCTTTGGAAAAAAGAAACAGACTTTAACTGTTTGAATACCAGGGGCTGTAATGACTTGCCTTTGCCACCAGTATATAGCTAAACCAGCCTGCACAACCTTAAAATTAATAATCAACTCTTATCAAGTTGATTGTTAAAGGGACTCGACTGAGGGTTTTTTTTTTTTGTTTTTGACATAACAGGATAAGAAATATTCTTGCGGGAATTGTATACCATTTGATGTAGATCCAGGTCTGAACTAATAACTTGTGTGCAAAATTTCATCTTTTTGTCCAGAATACATGTTAACAATTTTATTGTGCAAATTGAACAAAAAAACTTTTCACTAAAATCATGCTAAAAATCCACACACACAAATTGATATTCAATTTAATTCTGAGTATATTTATCACCCTTTTCAGAATTTTCCATTTTCAGTGCTTCACTAGATCTATGTAAGAATTTTAAATTTTTAGACTTTTCTTTTACAAGACTTTGTGCAAAATTAGCTTTGTAAAGGTGAAGTTTAATTAAAGTTTGTTTGAGTAGTAAGAAATTTGTCAATCAACTTAAGTCTTTTTGAAATAGCAGTACATACCAGATGCTGTACGTATTTGTGCTGTGCAAAACAAATATGTAACAAATAGTATAGACTAGTAGTAGGCAAGATTACTTGAATTGTTACTTCCTGTTGTCTGAAATTTAATACTTCAGGTCCTAAGTTTTGTTTTTCATATATCTAATAAGGTTTTTGAAGGTATTTATATAAAGCTTAAATAATAAAACAAATTAATAGATTAATCACATTATGTTGATTTTGTCGTGACGCGGCTCAAATGTTTTCTCTATTGTAAAACTGCTGGACATACACATGGTGATTTTGGGGCATGACCATTCTCAGTATATAAGAATGAAAAGGTTACTAAGTAAAGAATAGAAGGAATGGTTAAGATATTTAATTCGTTTGAATTTTAACCAAATAAAATTTTTATCTGAACTCGCAACCACCACCTGGTTTTCAAACAGATTGGTGCCACTAGGGGAAATGCTACCATGCTTGCACATGCCCAATTATGATCTCATTTTTGATATACACAATAAAACTATTAGATTTTTACCTTGACATTTCGAAGAAAACAGAGCTATTGCTACAGTTGTGTTGTCGTTGAGTTGCCGTCTGATCATGTTTATTTTTAGCTCATCTAAGCACAACGTGCTCATGGTGAGTTTTTGTGATCCCCCACCGGCCTTCATGCATCATTTAGAATTTCTTTAAACAATATCTCTGAAACCAATAACTGCACAGTAATCAAACTTTGCAGGAATGATCCTTAGGTGGTCCCCTTTTAAAGTTGTACAAATGGCTCTTGTCTGTTGCATAAGTAAGTCACAGGGCAAGATAAAGTGTTTCAAATATGCATATTAAAAATCTTGTCTGAAAGTACAAGGCCTAGAGCTTTGGTAATTGGTAAATAATATCATCTATAGGTCCTTTACCAAAGTTTGCCCCTAGTGTCAAAATTGGCCCCACCCCAGGGGTCATAGGTTTTCCTCATAGTATATAGTAAAAAAGCTTAAAAATCTTTCTCTCTGAAATGACAAAGGGTAGAGCTAAGGTATTTGACATGAAACATCGTCTAGAGTGAACATCTATCAATTTTGTATGTCAAAATTGGACCCACCCCAGGAGGTCATAGGTTTTCGATATACAATGTTTATATATGTATTTTAAAAACTTTAAAAAATGCTCTTCTCTGAAATGACAGAGGTTAAAGGTTAGATATTTGGCATGAAACATTGTGTAGTTGACCTCTACCAAGTTTGTTTGGGGTTAAAATTGGCCCTGCCCCAGAGGCCAAAATATTACAAACATAATTACAATGTAGAGGAAGCTTCAAAGGTTTGAGCTAGAATATTTGGCATGAAACTTTGTGAACCTGTACAAAGATTTATCAATTAATGGCGCTTGGAACAATATAAGCTACTCCCTGGGGGTCATGAGTATTCGATATATTCATTAAACAGAAACTAAAAAAAAAAGTTTTCTGAAAAGGAGAAATTTAAACAAGATTTTTGACATGAAACGTGTCGGGGGCCCTTTTCAATTGTTTTAATTTAAAATGTCTAAAAACCTTTTGGGGCATATTTTTTTTCCTTCCCGCGCTGCCCTTTTCTATCTGCATTTCCGAATGGGGATAGGGACTTCTAACTCACTAAAGGAGCTGGAACTCCGATATGACCTTTTTACTTTCGATATAAGAAAAAACCCAAAAAAAACAAACAAACTCACAAAAGAGAACAATTAAGTTCATTCTGTAACATTAGAGTAAGGGGGCCCTCTATTAAACAATAGAAAATAACAAAACAAATGGCCCCTTATTTCATTTCGGCCGGACATTGGTCTGTCTGTCCAGTTGTCCATCCGTCTGTCCGTCCGCATTAAGCTTGTCAACCCTTCAAAGGTCAAACTACTGGTGGGATTTCAACCAAACATTACAGGAGTGATCAGTACCATCCCTTGTTGTGCACATCACCAGCACGTTCCGTTTCGCTGCACAAAATGTCTGCTAGAGCTAAAAATAGAAAAATCTTGTCCGACCTTCACAGGTCAAACTACTGGTGGGATTTCAGCCAAACTTTACAGTAGTGATCAGTACTATCCCTAGTTGTGCTCATCACCGGCAAGTTCCGCCTCGCTGCACAAAATGGCCACCAGAGCTAAAAAATAGAAAAATCTTGTCCGGCCTTCACAGGTCAAACTACTGATGGGATTTCAACCAAACTGTACAGGAGTGATCAGTACCATCCCTAGTTGTGCACATCACCGGCACGTTCCACTTAGCTGCACAAAATGGCTGCCAGAGCTAAAAATAGAAACAATTTTGTATGGCAGTCTAAGGTCAAACTACTGGTGCAATTTCAACCAAACTTTACAGGGGTGATCAGTACCATTCTAAGTTGTGCACGTCACGGGGATGTTCTGTTTTGCTGCACAAAATGGCCGCCAGAGCTACATTTTGTTAAAATAGAAAAATATTGTCCGCCCTTCACAGGTCAAACTACTGGTAGGATTACAACAATATTTTACAGGATTGATCACTACAATCCCTAGATTTGCGAATCACGGGCACATTCCGCTTCGCTGAACAAAATGGCCACTAGAGCTAAAAATAAAAAATCTTGTCCGGCCTAATCACAGGTCAAACTACTTGTGGGTTTTCAACCAAACTTTACAGGAGAAATCAGACCCATCCTCAGTTGTGTACATCACGGGCACGTTCCGCTTCACTGCACAAAATGGCCGCCACAGCTAAAAATAGAAAAATCTTGTCTGGCCTTCACAGGTAGATTTCAACCAAACTTTTCAGGAGTGATCAGTACCATCCCTAGTTGTGCAGATCACCGGCATGTTCCGCTTTGCTGCACAAAATGGCCGCCAGAGCTAAAAAAATAAAAATCATGTCCGGCCTTCACAGATCAAACTACTGGAGGGATTTCAACCAAACTTTGTCAAACAATGTCCTCAAGGTGAGCTTTTGTGATGGTCCTCCATCGTCCGTCCGTGCATCAACAATTTCTTAAAACAACTTCTCCTCCTAAACCACTTGTCCAAGTTTGTTGAAATTTTGCAGGGATGTTGCTTGCATGAATCTCTACCAAATGTGTTATAAGAATTAAATTCCTTGAAGAACTCAGGTTGCCATGGCAACCAAAAGATTTTTATAAAAGAAATCTTAAAATATTCTTGTCAACAACCACAAGGTGTAGTTTTTTGTCAAAAACCACAAGGTGTAGAGCTTTGATATTTGGTATGTAACATAATCTAGTGGTCCTCTGAAAAAGAGTGTTCAAATCATGCCCCTAGTGTCAAAAGGACCCCAGCATGGGGGTTACTTGATTTTTAAAATAAAATCTTTAAAAATCCTCTTGTCAAAAACCACAAGGCCTACAGCTTTGATATTTGGTGTGTAACATGATCTATTGGTCCTCTACAAAGATTGTGTAAATTATGCCCCTAGGGTCAAAAGGGGTCCCGCCATGGGGTTACTCGATTTAAAAGAAAATCTTTAAAGATCCTATTGTCAAAAAGCACAATGCCAGCAGCTTTGATATTTGGTGTGTAACATGATCTAGTTGTCCTCTGCAAAGAGTGTTCAAATTACGCCCCTAGTGCCAAAATGGGCCTGCCTTGGGGGTTACTCAATTTAAAAAAAATCTTTAAAAATCTAATGTCAAAAACCACAAGGCCTACAGCTTTGATATTTGGTATGTAACATCATCTAGTGGTCCACTACAAAGATTGTTTAAATTATGCCTCTAAGGTCAAAATGGGCTCCTCAGTTTTATATAAAGTTATATAGGGAAATCTTAGAAAATCTTCCTGTCAAAATCAACAAGGCCTAGAGCCTTGATATTTGATCTGTAACATGATCTAGTGGTCCTCTACAAATATTGTTTGAATTATGCCAATAGGGTCAAAAGGGGCTCCTCAGTGTTATATAAAGTTATATAGGGAAATGTTAAAAAAATGTTCTTGTCAAAAATCCACAAGGCATAGAGCCTTGATATTTGATATGTAACATGATCTAGTGGTTCTATACAAAGACGGTTCAAATTATGCCCCTAGGATGAAAAAGAGCCCGTCGGGGGGCTTATTGAATTAAAAAAAAACTTGTCAAAATCCACAAGGCACAGAGCCTTGATATTTGGTATGTAAGATGCTCTAGTGGTCCCCTACAAAGACTGTTCAAATTATGCCCCTAGAGTCAAAAGGGGCCCGCCAGGGGGCTTATCAGTTTTATATAGATTTATATAGGAAAATCTTAGAAATCTCCTTGTCAAAATGTACAAGGTCATAAGTCTTGATATGTAGTTCGTAGCATCATCTAGTGGTCCTTTGCAAAGATTGCTCAAATAATGTACCTAGGGTCAAAAAGCAGCCCTCCAGGGAGTCATCAATTTTACTTTGAGTTATATAGGCCTAGAGCTTTGATATTTGGTAAATAACATCATCTAGTGGTCCTTTGTGAAGATTGTTAAAATTATTCCCCTAGGATCAAAAGGGGCCCACCTGGGGTCTAATTAGTTTTATTTAGAGTTATTTATGAAAATCTTAAAAATTATTCTCAAAAATCACAAGACCTTAAGTGCTTTGATATTTGGTATTTAAGGTCATCTAGTTGTCCTCTAAAATTAAAAAACAAAAACATCTTAACCACTTGTTCAATTTTGAAATAATTTTACACAAAAATTTCCTTGGAGACAGTGTACAAAATTGTTTAGATTAAGCTGTCCTTTTTTCAAATTGTGCTGTGGTCTTATTTCTCAGGTGAGTGATCCCTTTGGACCCTCTTGTTTTTCTTAAACAATAGACATTCTTAAGTAGGTTTGTATTTTCTATTAAACAATATAAAAATAAATCTGTAATAATGAATAACTGTCCTGCATAGTGCAGTGCACATGATCTCAATATACTGCAATGTGTGTTCATATATGCATTTCGTTTAGTAATTATATGGTCGCACCTACTTGCTAGATATGACTGAAAATACATTGATTTTTAATAGTGAAATATTTCGAAGAAACGCTAAAAAATTGTTCCTCGCGTAATAAAGGCATGAAGTTAAAATTTAATGCAATAAATCATTTATTTTCTATACAATAGCATAAGGAAAAGGATGATTTAAATGGATATTAAACAAGAAGAATAACCTTATAAAATTGTCAATTTCATATTCACTAGAAAGTTAAAAGATAACATCTTTACCGTTTGGGTTACGGTGACAGTTGGTATATATAAACGAAATAAGTAAAATATATCGCTAGCCTGTTTAACTGGTGATAACTGGTGATAACTTTTACAGTGATGTTCATAGATTTTGTTAAACACAGCTTGAAATTATACCTACATTCATGCTAAATGTATTGCAACCCCTTATTTTGCTGGAAATGAATACCCTATTTTATTCAATGAAAAAATATATCTGTTCAATGTTTAATATATCAAATTTGACACATTCTAATCATAATAAAGAAGAAGATAACAAATTAACAAAGAAAAGCTTTAAACTTTAAGTTGAAACGTCGTTTCGAACATAATCATTATACTATACAGATGTGGAAACAATCCAATGTAGGGACAATAGTACTTTAGTTCAATAGACGTACGTACGTTACAGCCCCTCCCCAATATTCCTGCGCTGCATACGGGCGATATAGTTTATGTAGTGCATTTTACTCTACGCAACAGTATGTGAGTATATTCCGAATTCTGTAATTCGTGAAATCGAGTATTCCCAGGAGTACATCTGCGAAGCGAGGGTCATCTTGCAGATCTTCACTGCTTTTGCTTTCTCTGCCATTCCAAACGGTCGACAATGAATTTAAAAAGGGGCTCGTCGAGATATTGCCTTCAATTGAAAGTTGTAAAGATCGAGAAAAGTCCTTGCTATACATTTTGTTGTCTTATCGATTTAGCAAATTAACGGGGTTACTCGACATTTGATGCTCTTCGCCACGTATTCTTAAAACAGATGTCATCTCCGACTTGTATAAATAACAGTACAGCCATCTTCATCATTATACTGGATTGTTTGGAATACAATATTGAAGGTAAGTCATCTAAAATGTTCATTTATAATCTTTATTTGTTTAAAATTAAAAGGACAGTGCTAACTTGTTGCTTTTGAGGGAAATAAGTGCGACGGTTTTTTTTCCGAATGATTTAATGTAAATCATGTTTATTATCAAGCTAAATAAAAACCCAAATACTTAACTAATAGGTCGATCTCAATTTTCATTTGTAATGCAATTTCTTAAATTGAAAAATAATCTGAAACTATTTTATTATATACTTCTAAAATAAATATCAAAAAATGTTGATGAAATAAAATGCGTATTTTCATTTTCCGTATTTTCACAATGAAATTGTTTTTTTCACTGACGGAAACATATTTTTCGTATTTTCACCAGTGTCTTCTTCAGCCAATACACATAGTGTAAGGGGAAATCTTTCAAATTGTAATGTCAAAACAATGTATATATTAAACAGAAAATCCAAGTTTTTTTCTATTAATACAGGATTTATTTTCATCATGATGTATGAAAAATATCATATTTAAATATTTATTTTCATACCACTCGATGAAAATAAATTATGTAATGATAGTTAAAACTTGAATATCCGCTATTTAGTTGATCATTATGATAAGTATACAAAATGAACGTGAAAGTTTATCAATGATTTAAAGCTGCATGCCTCCTGATGAGCCAAAATAGTTCAAGAAAATCAAACTTTTGGAAAACGCACTAAGATTGTAAGAAAAGTATTTAGATGCAAGATTCAAGTAATAATTTATAACTTTTGTGTGATTAATGATTGATTTTGCAGTATTTATTACCATATTTCTACTGCGTTACTAACGTGCTGCTTTAAAACTAATATTATGTTGTAGGATACATGTAAGTTATTTGAAAGTTATTGTAAGATCATTAAACAAGCAAATTTTTCCAATAAATATTTGTACTGGCACTATAAAAATGTTATCAGATTGACTCTGCATAAACCGCATGTCTACTTTGTATTTTGCCTAGCCTTTTAGTTTAGCAGAACAGAAGAGACGGAACATAGTATTGGTCTAAAACAATATATTCACATATAATCAAATAATTAATGAAAAGTTTGTACATTCTCGGAGTTGAACAGTTTTAAATTATGACTTTAAACCATTCTGAGCAAAGTTTCGGTTGACAGTAAAAAACAACAACATAAAAATACGTGTGCTTAATAATAAACGAACTAAATATCTGTTTATTTATAATATGTATAGATCTTTTTCTATCTGCTATAGTTAAAAAGATCTCACGATTTTGTTATCCGTACAATCTGACATAATGGCACGAGTACTCTGTGTAGTTGTTCTATTAACATTGGTAAGATTGTCACACTTAGAGTTTTTTTTATCTTTCAGCTTCTAGTGCTATGAAACACTAAAATGAAGCTTAATTTAATTTAATTTGTCCTGTAGAGTTTAATTTTAATGTACAGTAGTATGTTGTAATAAAGAATCAGTAGCTTTAAGCTGAAATATAAATATTCTAAACTTGAACCATTTTTTTTTCTAACTGAAGTTGATGCTGTTATTACATATGACGTTTATTAAAGTAAGTCTGTTATTTAAATTGAACTCGTTTACTTTTATTACAATTAATTACTGTGAAAATTAAATGAGACTTTAATTAATAAGAATTTTAATTTTCAACTTTATTATTGATTTGCACGTATGTTAGTTTGATTTTGCTTCTATGATTCCAGACAATCATTCAAACAGTTGACGCCAATGCAAACTTATGCAAGGACAAAAACCTCTATGACGTAAGCCAATATTGTATTTATACAACTGATTTGTCCTGCTTTAAAATGAAACAATCCATTGGAAATTTAAGGGTTTACTATTCTAGAGCAGTCATCAGTATAGATCCTGGTCAAACTGCGAGCATGCTGGTGCAGCACTAAATTGTTGCTATCAAAATTGTCAGCGTTTTGAATAGGGATTATTGACTGACTGGTTGATTTATTTTTTAATATTTTCAAATTATCATAAATTAATAAAACAGTGATAATTTTGATTTTTTTTAATTTGTGCAAACATTTTCACTTCATAGGTCTAAATAGCTTTAGTTTGTTTACATTGCAATAAATAATAGGCACTTAAATTAAACGTGTAAATATACGATTCGTATTGTTAACCATGGCTGTGAGTACCGTGACTTAAAGCGACTCCATTGAGATTTTTTCAATTGACGGGTATGGAAATAATTTTTCAAGATTAATGCTCTGTTTGATGTAGGTCCAGACAAATAACAAGTGTGCAAAATTTTCAGATCATTCGCTTACTCTGTTTTCCAGAATAATTACGCTTATGAAAAGCGTTACAAGGCTTTTTAACTCAAATTGGACTTACTTAGAATAGCACAAAAATACGACATTCAAATCATTTCTGAGTATATTTCTTATTTATTGTTTGCACCATTCTGTTCTAAGTGCCCCAGCTGATCTATGTAAGAAATTCATTTTTTTGGGGGGTGGGGGGGGGGGGAAGGGGGAGGGGGGTTGAACCTCAATGGAGTTTAATTTTGTGTCTTTTATTCTGATATGTATTACATGCTTGCTCAGGTAAAGGATTTTTCCAATGCATGTACATGTATATTAACTCTGATAGTTTATGACGGATTACTTTTGAGAACAGAATTAACACTTGCGCATAAACTGTAAGAGAATGCGCAGGCTGGTCTGGATCCATGCTGGTCGCAAACGCACTATGTTGCTTTTGTCGTGACGCGGCTCAAATGTTTTGATGCTGCTGTTTATCATAATCAGTACTATCTTTTCATTTTTTGATAGTTGTGTCATTTCGTTTCTTTTTCATATAGAATTTGGTAAATGCAGAAGTGCTTTGTTCCAAAGGAAATCACTAAAACTTCTCAACGTGCATTTATCAGTGCACTTCAATGCAATTAAGCTTTCAATAATTTTAGTTAGGTTGTAAAATTCCTGTCGACAAACTGGGTTCGAATTACTGGAGTCTATGCCTTTCTTAGCTCCAGCAGGTGAGGTGGTTTTGACCCCTGGTTTTGTAACACCCGAGGTAAGCCATAATCATTTTTCATGTTAGGCGCTTTATAACCTATACTGTGTTTGTGCGCCGAAATTCCAGCTAACCAAAACAAAAACAAAAAAAACAAAAAAACAGTTGACATAAAGGTTTGGGTTGAACTATTAAATGTTAATGGCATGTTGGGGATTATGGTCATGCAGTTTAGCGTTTTAATGATCAAAATATCATCGAGAAATCTTACCAACTAAAACGCTTCAAAAAACAATTATTTCTGCAGGAAGTGTTTTTTGATTCGTAAATCTTTGGGTGCACGAAAATAGCTAAATGAGATTATCGTTCTCTGTAGAACGTAAATATTATTATTTTATTCATTATACGTCAATTACTTTGTTTTCAGACTACGACTGTTTGGAAATATCTGGTAGAGCATCTAAGCCAAAAATGAGGAACGGGGCCTATATATGTTGCTATGCCGATGATGAATGCGGTCAAAACTTCGCCTGCTCTGAAAATAGTTACTGTTGCCATGTAGCAACCGGAAAACGCGCAAAATTGCCTTGATCAGAAATATTAAACATTTTCCACATATATGCCCTTAACTAGTTAACTGACCGACACACAAATAATGAATAAATGATATATCAACATGAAAGCATATATTTAAAAAGGTGTTGTTTTCACTTATTAAATTCCTTCTTGATTAAGAACAATCTTTATTATCCAGAAAAGATAGGTATAACAGCACCACCGAAAACAAGGTAATGCTGGACAAGTATTTATCTGTATTCTGTCAAAGTTTTATACTTATCCTTTGACAGATTTTTTATTTCATTTGTAAAAAAAGTGCAATTTGGGACCACAAACTTCTAGCAAACCATTAGTTTTAATATTATCTTAACAGATTAATGAAATATAAATTACAGAACGGTTATAAAAGGGAATCATGGCGAATCTTATGTTCCTGAAAGGACGGACGGACCCTTATTAATTTATCTTACACATGACGTAAATTAAATTAAAATTTTGGAAACCTCAATGGCCAAAGCTTAGATATTTGATGTTAAACAACACGTGGTTCCCTTTCAACGTTATATAAATCATGTCCTTCTTGTAGTAAATAGTCCTATCTGAGGGGCCACATATTTTACATAGAAATTTTACAGGAAACCACAAAAGTGTGATTCTTAGAGCTGAGATATTCGACTTTATTGATCTCGTCAATAGTTACACAAATCATAAACTTTAAGGTCAATAGGAGGTCACTTTATTTTCAATTTAATTTTATACATACTTTTTTTAGGAAAAACGCATTTTTTCTCTGTAACAATATACTATTCTTTGACCTTTCATATTTTTATTGAGGAATAAAGGCAATAATGATGTATAATGACAATTATTTGGTTTGAAAAATACATTTATACTGTTAAAAATACGCTGTACAGTATGACATAATATACACGTAAGAATATTTGATTAGATGAAAATTACTTCTATTTTTCTCGATTTTGTTTGCAACAGAATTTCAAAATACTAGTGTTGACTTCCTTGGGCTTTTGATATTCCTTTGACGTCGTCTTACTATTTTTTGATTAAATGTAACATAAATGTAAATGTTATAATATATGAACTAAACGATATTAATATATTCAACAAGATGATATTATAGAGATATCTGCTTATATTATTATGTGATATGTTCACTAATTACTAACACCCTGCTGAAACCGAAAGTTCAAAAGTGATTTACCTTTGACACCAGTATATAGCCAAGCCATTCCGTGCAACCTAATAGTCTGACCTGCCTCTATACGGTTGGCAGTTCAATTTTTTTTGTATTTTGATATTAAAACCCCTAAAACTTTGAATGGACTGTTCCAAATTAAAAGATGGATATAAATCCATTTCACAAATTCAGCAGGTATAATTTGTTCTGTGGTCAAATACAGCTGAGAAGCGGATATATAGATTATAATTTTCGTCTTATATTGTTATTGTTGTAGTTATCTATAGTCATTATATGAGTAAATAGTCGTTATAGTCCTTTGATTTCAGGAATTATGTTCGTTATAACAGCCATCGTTCTTTTCTATTTGAACGGAAAAATAAAAGTATTAGTAAACTGGCATTAATATAAAATTGCGCTTGTTTAAAGCAACATTTTACATAATTAATATTTAGATATGAAAAGAAAATAATAATGTTATTTATCTTATATGTGTTACTTGGTATATCAAGTTAGGAGCACAATGAATAATGTTCGTTATCTTTATATAATTTATAAGCTCGTGATCAAAAAGTACACCACTGTCATCATTTAAGAAGTATTCTTAACTGTACGTTCACTTTAATATGAACACTGCAAGCATAAAAATATATATTTATATACCTTTTCACTAAAATCAAGACAAAGTTCTAAATATTATACTAATAACATCATCATAACAAATATTGATGATCTCACCACAAGAGTATTTTTCAGTACTCCCAAAAATTCGCACATTGTGTGATAATTGCTTTTTACCCGTTTTATAGATACAGATACATGTATGTGGGACAAGGTAAGATGTCATGCAACAATTTGTCCATGCAATCATATAAGGTCAAAATGTCGTTTAGAATGAAGACTAGCATGATCAGAGCCTGGATTACCGTCAGAAAATATGTCAAAATGTCTTTTAGAAATAAAACCAGCATTATCAGAAACTGGATAACCGTCAAAAAAGATGTCAAAATGTATTTTAGATATAAATGCAGCATTATCAGAAACTGGTTAAGTGTCAGAAAATATGTTTTTTGTCGACTTATACCAATGTAATTTTTAAATTTGATTTCAAATTCACTGAGAAAATCTTTAGAATGTACATACATAAAAACTGTTTTCGAACATGTTTAGTTGAATTTATTACTGAAAAGACGCGTGTGATTCATACAATGCAACCATTCCAAACGTAGATTGCAATGAAATTATATATTCGGCTTCGAATGAGAAGTTTCTTTTTCTTACCATTACATATAAAACATGTAATCACAATTACTTCCAAAAAGTTTAAATTTCGGTATAAGTTTGCTTATAAATACACATAAATTTTAAACATAACTTATCAATAACACTGGTTTTGTTAACTAAAGCATTTCATATGTAGACCTGGAAAATGAAAGTTCGAATCAAAGCATGTTTTTGTTTGTTTGTTTTGTTTTGTTTAAACAACGTGCCAAATCTTATTCAGAAGGTAAATGAGGCTGACTAACATTTATGACAGGTAACCAGATACATTTTTTCTACTTTAACAACTATTTCACATTCGCTCGACTTCATTTCATCTTACTGAAATCTATTCCGGTTGCTTTTTTCTTCCCAAGTTTGTGTCCCTTTTCACCAACCCTGAAAGTAAAAGAATGTGTTAATCAGTAACTGTTTTCTGTAAGTATTTCAATATGTTCAATTCACATGCGAATTGATTAACACAATTAATAAGCACCGTGAAAAAATACCCCAATTTCGAAACAGTTAAATACTAGTATTGGTTTGATATCATTGATTTTATACAGGTCACTTTGTTACGAGCCAGGCGTAACGAGAAAGAAAAGCCAGCAACAAACTTGTAACAATAACAAATTTATTACAGAAAAATTATTAAAGAAAAATAAAATAACAAATAACTTTACAAATACCTGAAGTCCAAATAAAAATTACAAATGTCTAGTCTGATCCTGGAATGATCCTTTTTCAATAGCACAGTTAAATCCAAGTTAAATCCAAGAACACTTTAGAATAAATACCCACAATAAAATCCACAAGAATAATTAATAATCCAAGCTCCAATAAATCACTTAATTTCCAAGTTAAATAATACTCCAAATATATTGATGACTTAAAAGATCACTGATGACTAAAAAAAGTAAAGGTAATGAAAAATGTCAATTTATATATATTAACTAAGAAAATTCCAGAAAGGTCTATTATGTTCTCAAGTAATCATAATCTAGCAACTTCAACAATAAAGAACATTCCAGAAGTTTCTATCTAAATATAATGCATGAGTTTTCTACAACAGGTAAGAACGTTCTAGTACATACATGTAGTTTATGTTCTAAAAATAGAACAATGATAATATTGGAAATACCAACTGGTCATATATAAATTATATACATGTAATAAGTTGCATACATAACACTTCCCCTCTTCAAGAAAAAGAAATATGAATGAAATGAATATTTCTTTTACATAAATCCAAACAATGTAACTTACAAATAATATAGGAGAAATGTTAAACAATTTTATACATTCATTCATATATATGTGTATTACAAACAATAGCAAACAACAACAAAAAAAAATTCAATCATATCATATACATGTTTAATTTAAAATACTGCAAATAACAGTTTTAGACACGTGAAAGTGCATCAGGGATCAAATTATCTTTCCCTTTAATGTGTCTAATGTCAAGACTATATTCTTGCAAAAATAAGCTCCACCTCAACAACCTTTGATTTTTGTTTTTAAGTTTATGCAAGAAAGTGAGGGGATTGTGATCACTAAAGACAACAACAGGCAACTTTGAAGAAGTTAGATAAACTTCAAAATGCTGAATAGCAAGCATAAGAGCAAGGCACTCTTTCTCTATAGTAGAGTAATTTTTCTGATGTTCATTAAACTTTTTAGAAAAGTAACAAACAGGATGGTCAACACCATTGTTGTCTTCTTGGATCAATACACTTCCAGCACCTATGTCACTAGCATCTACAGCTAACTTAAAGTTTTTATTAAAATCTGGTGCCAAGAGAACTGGTGCACTCTTAAGTATGGCTTTAAGGCTGTCAAATGCCATTTGACACTTGTCATTCCAAATGAATTTGTTTCTTTTCTTTAACAAATTTGTCAATGGTTCTGCAATAACCGAAAAATTATTACAAAATTTACGATAATACCCTGCCATACCAAGAAATCGCATCAGTTGTCTTTTACAAGTAGGCACAGGAAATTCAGAGATAGCTTTGACCTTAGCTTCTATTGGTTTTACTTTACCCTGTCCCACTACATGTCCTAAAAATGTTAAAATTGCATGACAAAATTCACTTTTTGCAAGATTAACTGTCAATTTAGCATCACTAAGTCGGTCGAAGAATGCTCTTATAGTTGTGAGATGTTCCTCCCATTCATCAGAGTAGATGATTGCGTCATCAATGTATGCGTCACATCCGTGTAGACCAGATATTACCATGTTTATAAGTCTCTGAAAAGTTGCTGGTGAGTTTTTCATACCAAAGGGCATGACTTTATATTGATATAAGCCGTCTGGTGTTACAAAGGCTGATATTTCTTTAGCTCTATCAGTAAGTGGAACTTGCCAGAATCCTTTTAGAAGATCAAACTTTGTTACATACTTTGCTTTTCCAATTTTGTCAATACAGTCATCAATTCTTGGTATAGGAAATGAATCAGTTTTTGTTACAGAGTTCACTTTACGATAATCTGTACACATTCTATATGTTCCATTTGATTTCGGTACAAGAATACATGGAGAGCTGTAACTGCTTTGACTTGGTTCAATAAAGTCATTATCCAATAAATACTGAACTTCTTGTCTTAGGTACTTTTGTTTTATAGGATTCGTTCTATATGGATGTTGTTTTATTGGTTCAGAGTTTTCAAGAATGACGTCATGATGTATTTTATCAGTCCGTGTGGGAATATCGGGAAATAAATGTTCATATTCATAAATAAGCTGTTTCAGTTCATCTCGTTTTGACGGTTCTAAGTGATCAAGTTTTTCATCCAGATTTTTCAGAATATCAGAGTTTTCAAGCTTTGCTGAACCAGGATCAGACTTTTCAAAATTTTCACACCTATTAGATTCAATTGAACATTGATTTTGTGGAACAGAGTTTACAAAAGATATAGGTTTACTAATTTTGCTATCTCTATCAAAATATTCTTTTAACATATTTATGTGACACATTTGTTTTTGCTTTCGCCTCCCAGGAGTATTAATAATATAATTAAGGTCACTGACTTTCTTCTCAATAGTATAAGGACCAAAGTATCTTGCCTGTAATGGTTTTCCAGGTATAGGTAAAAGAGCAAGTACTCTATCACCAGGGTTAAAACTTCTTTCCTGAGCATTCTCATCATACCTTGATTTCATTTTACTTTGTGTTGATTTTAAATTAAGCCTAGCTAACTTACATGCATTAGTCAACCTATTTCGAAAATCTGATACATACTGAAGCAAATTTAAAGATATGTCATCTTCAGACAGGAATTTCTCTTTAAGAAGTTTTAAGGGTCCTCGGACAGTGTGACCAAATACTAATTCAAAAGGGCTGAAGCCAAGAGATTCCTGAACAGATTCTCTTACAGCAAATAACAATAAATGGATGCCTTCATCCCAGTCTTTTTCAGTGTCAAAACAATATGACCTAATCATATTTTTCAGAGTCTGGTGAAATCTTTCTAATGCACCTTGACTTTCAGGGTGATAGGCTGAAGACCTATATTGAGTAATTCCTAACTCGTGCATGACCTGCTGGAAAATACCAGACATAAAGTTTGACCCTTGATCAGACTGTACTGACTTAGGTAAACCAACAAATGTGAAAAACTTCACAAGAGCCTTGACAATAGTTTTGGCTTTAATATTCCTTAAAGGAATAGCTTCAGGGAAGCGCGTAGAAGCACACATAATAGTTAATAAGTACTGAGAACCTGATTTAGTTTTTGGTAATGGACCTACACAGTCAATAATAACTCTACTAAAAGGTTCATCAAATGCAGGAATAGGCTGTAAATGAGCTTTAGGTATTGTCTGGTTAGGTTTTCCAACCATCTGACAAGTATGACAAGATTTACAGTACCTAGATACATCTGCTTTAAGGCCAGGCCAATAAAAATGACTGAGAATTTTATGGTAGGTTTTATTTACACCTAAATGACCTGCCATGGGTGTTTCATGAGCCAAGCTTAATATTTCCTGGCGATATGATTTAGGGACCACAATTTGGTGATTAACTGTCCACTCCTCTTCAGCAGGGACATCGGGCGGTCGCCATTTTCTCATTAAAATCCCATTCTTTTCATAATAACAAACAGGGACTTGTAAAGCTTCATCTTCACTAAAAGCCTTTTGATAAAGGACTGAAATCTCAGGATCATTTTGTTGTTCCTGGATAAGCTGTGACCTTGACAGCGTATCATGACCTTGATCTTTAGATCTTGGTGTAGAAAAATCAGATATTGAAAAATCTGTCTGAGTTTCAGGCAGAGTAGGAGTGTGAGAAAAATTTATTTCATTATCAAAAGACTGACCTATAAAAGTATCAGCTAAGTCAATATCTGAACAAAAATTGTCTTCTTGAATGGCCTTCTTAGCCATAGCTCGAGTAACTGCACATGAAGGGTAAAGGTCAGGAATTTCCTGCTCAATGGGATCAGGTATCTGATCCACACAAGGAGTGTCAGTTACAAGTGGATTAACCACTACCTTATCTCCAGCTAAGTCATTACCTAGCAATAAATGAACACCTTTAAAGGGTAAGAAAGATCTTATACCTACAGCCACTGGCCCAGTTACCAAATCTGAGGACAAATAAATATTATGGAGAGGGACATTAGAAAAACCACACTCTACACCCTGAATAAGGACACTAGATCCAGAAGAAGTCTTCTCAGAAAAAGGCAGTGTATCTGCTAAAATAAGAGATTGAGAAGCTCCTGTGTCTCTTAAAATTGTAATAGGAGTAGGTGGGCAAGTATCACCGATAAGTGACACGGAACCTTCCGAAAGGAATGGTTCATAAATCTCCATTATAGAATCAGACTTGGGTTCTTTGACCTTCAAAATTGCATTGTTATCAATACAAGACTGAGGTTCAGACCTTGAAGTGGTAAGACCTGTGGGTTTGGCCTCATCACGTTGTTGTTGCCTCCTTTTTAAGGTAAAGCAATCAGAAATAAGATGTCCAGTTTTCTTGCAATAATTGCATGTAGGACGAGATAAGGGATTATGACCTTTATGTTCATCAGATGACTTTGGTTTGGGAGTATTTGACTGACTAGATGAGCCAGATAAATTACCAGAACTGAACTTGGAATTAAAATGTGAGGGTGTGGACTTCCCTTTATTTAAAAATGAGACTTTGTGGGTTAAAGAATAATCATCAGCTAGACGGGCAGCTTCTTCCAAAGTTTCAACCTGTTTTTCATCTAAGAAAGATTTAACATCAGAGTGAATACAACGTTTAAACTCTTCAACTAACATGAGCTGTCTGAGCTTTTCATGATTTTTATTTATTTTCTTAGATAGACACCACCGATCAAAAAGTTGTTCTTTTTCTCTTGCAAATTCAACATGGGTTTGACCAATTTCTTTCTTAGAATTTCTGAATTTTTGCCTGTAGGCCTCTGGTACTAACTCATAACCTTTCAGAATTAATTCTTTTACATTTACCAATTAAAATATGAAAAACAAGATCAACAAGGAAAGGCGGCGTTCAATGAACGCAACCCCCATATGACCCAGCAACAAGAACCAAAGACGCTCTGTAAAAGTAATGTCCAGTGCTCTCTTGGCCATTTAGAATTTTCAGCAACCTTTTCAAAATGAAGAAAATACTTATCAACTTCTTTTTATTGGAAAGGTGGAACAAGCCTAATATTTTTAGTGACATCAAATTTTGAATTAATTCTATGTTCAAACTGATTTGCTCTCTCTTTGATTTCTAATTCTCTCATTCTTAACTGAAATTCTCTCTCTTCTCTTTCTTTTTCTAATTTTCTCTCTTCCCTTTCTTTTTCAAACTGCCTTTCCCTTTCTTTTTCTTCCCTTTCTTTTTCTAACAGTAACTGCCTTTCTTCCCTTTCTTTTTCTAACTGTCTTTCTTCCCTTTCTTTTTCTAATTGCATTTTTTCTAGTTCAAATTTAAATTGAAGTTCAAGCTCTTTTATCTTAATTTCAGAAATTTCAGAGTGTTTTTCAACAATGTGAGAAAGTGCATCTTCTCCAAAAATATCTTCATCCACAAAATAATGAATCAGAAGATTTTTAATTTCTTGTTTACGCATTGAAGATTTAATTTCTGATAAATTATACTTTTTTGCAAGATCGAGCAAATCAGTTTTCTTAGCCAAATCTAATACCTCCTGGGAAGGTTCAGCTACAAACTTTTCTAAATTAAAGGACATGACTGCTTGTTGCTGGTTTTAAACTCAGAAAGTGATGTGTTTCAAAAATTTCAAAATTGAAAGGCACACTTAATAGAACAACTATGATATCAACTCAAATGAGTAAATACGGTAATAATAAAATGTAAAGTAAACGGTAATAATTTCCAATATTGTAGCCAAAATAAATATTCAATCCCGGACGAGCCCCCAATTTCTGTTACGAGCCAGGCGTAACGAGAAAGAAAAGCCAGCAACAAACTTGTAACAATAACAAATTTATTACAGAAAAATTATTAAAGAAAAATAAAATAACAAATTATCTTTACAAATACCTGAAGTCCAAATAAAAATTACAAATGTCTAGTCTGATCCTGGAATGATCCTTTTTCAATAGCACAGTTAAATCCAAGTTAAATCCAAGAACACTTTAGAATAAATTCCCACAATAAAATCCACAAGAATAATTAATAATCCAAGCTCCAATAAATCACTTAATTTCCAAGTTAAATAATACTCCAAATATATTGATGACTTAAAAGATCACTGATGACTAAAAAAAGTAAAGGTAATGAAAAATGTCAATTTATATATATTAACTAAGAAAATTCCAGAAAGGTCTATTATGTTCTCAAGTAATCATAATCTAGCAACTTCAACAATAAAGAACATTCCAGAAGTTTCTATCTAAATATAATGCATGAGTTTTCTACAACAGGTAAGAACGTTCTAGTACATACATGTAGTTTATGTTCTAAAAATAGAACAATGATAATATTGGAAATACCAACTGGTCATATATAAATTATATACATGTAATAAGTTGCATACATAACAACTTGAAGACCCTCTGAGTGGAAGAAGAAAAAAATTAATGCCTCATTCACACGTGCGTAGAACCACTGACTTCCCGTAAACTAAACGTTATTAAAGATATCTTAATTTTCATTTTAATTTGCTTTCATTCAATTAATTGTTGTCTCAGATACTTTACTACGATATTAAAAAGCTTCAAGAAAACAAGAATGCAAACGTTAAATAAAAAATATTTTATGAATGTTATTTAGCGTTTGCATTCTTGTAGTAAAGAATCTTAGAATACAATAAATTGAATTAAAGCAGACCAGGGTGAAAATGAAGATATCTTTACTCCGATGTTACAAGAAGCATAGTATATGTATTATAATACCTTTAATTTGACATTTCAACTTGTAAATAAGCGTGTTTTTTTTATAAATCATTTCTTTGAAACTGGTGCATTGTGGAATTGATATTATGGAATAGTTTAAAACACTCACTATCGACTTTAAATGGACTCTCGTTTAACATATTGGCATTTATCTTCTTGTATTCGGTCTTTTCGTTCGGCAAATCGTTAACTGCAATAAAATTTATCGTTTTTGTTATGATTAAGCTATAATTTTACCAGTCGCGTACGCTTCAGAACTGTGATAATAAGTAAAGATGATCAAAGACTAGGATTTCTGATTTTATTTTATTTATTTATTTTTATACGTGCGTACATAGCTACATATACACGTATGTAAGCATAAATGCAGGCTCAATGAAGAGAAACAAATAATTTTGTTTATCTTCACATTTTGTTCTGTTTTTAATCCTTCAGATATTATTATTGTGTCCTACCTGTTATTATCACATCGCATTTTCATTTTGTTAATTCAAATGTTATCACAACCAAACAGGTTTTGTTTTATATGTATTTCGATACCGAGAAAATTATTACAAAATTTAAACAAAATTTGTTCTTTAAGTTTTGAAGTTTCACTACTTTCTTATTGCTCAAAATATAAATTATTCATGACTTAATTTTTTTTTTACGAGATATAAATTATTAATAAAACTTACTTGCATAAGTGACTGTTTCCTGCACAGCCAAACATAAAATCAGAACGCATATGAAGTAATAACCTTTCATTTTGATACAAATGTTGTAACTGTCTAATTTGCAGTCAAAGAAATATGAAAATTGCAATCGAATAAATACCATATATATCTATGTATCTATAAAGGTATGCCGAACCATCCGTAAAATGTAATGTAGGGTGAATATATTTAAAGTAATAATCTGATTTATGATAACAAGAAGTGTGCAATTTAATGTTTAATGATTAATAATGTAAGGAAAATGTCGTATGTGCAACATATCACATTCTCATCTTTTTACGCCGCTTTTTAACACAGTTTATAGTCATATCCCGGCGGTTTTCCCGGATAACCTACCACTAGTTATATACCAAATTCTCCGCATGTGACAGACTATTAATCCCAGATAATTTCTGAATCATTGTTAAAAGACAAATGCCCATTAGACTCAATGTCCGAGATAAATTTTCATATAGAAATTTCGCCGCGTCCGAGGATTGAACCAGCGTCCCTTGCATTGCAAATCGGATGGCTAAGATTGCGGACTTGGCATTCATAAAAAGTTTTCATTATTAAAACAAGCTGAATTTTTCTATATTACCGGATGTTCCCGAAAAGCTTAAGCATGGATGCAGGGTGTCTCATTTAAAGTTTAAATTTCTTCAGGTTAAACATGTTGCAATG